TACAAGAAGTATGCTTGATGCTTGCTTTCATGTATATTACTAATTAAACCTCCCCAAGACAAATACCCTTCCTGGTACTCAGTTCTTCTTAGACCAACTGTTCATTCATTCATTCATCATCTATTTCCCAGGTTTTGTGCTAACTACTACAACAGACACAAAAATAACCGACACAGTCTCTGGTGCTCAGGAATTCTATCTAGTGGGGAAAACAGACTTATTAACCAACAGGTAGGATTCACTGTAGAGTAGTAAACACTGCAGGAATAAAGAAAGTACCTGCTAGCTCTGCAGGGAGAGTTAAAGAGGGCTCACCAGATGTGACATTTCAGCTAGACCCTGAAGAGTAAGTTTGCTAACATGCAGAAAGAGAATGGTTTTGCAGGCAGCAGGAACAGCCTGGAAGAATGAATGGGGAGGGAATGTTTTGGATTGGATTTGGGATAGCTGGAAAGAAGTCAGAAGATTACCTGGGTTATAAACAAGTGAGTGGCAGAGACAGAGTTAAGCAGTGAAAGTTGGAATTGTCTAAACCATAGTCCTTAGCTTCCTATCCTCTAACACACCCTAACACACATACACACATGCACACATGCACACCTGTCCAGTCTCAATGCCATTTCCTGGCTTAGAGCTGTCATTTGACCAGACCCCACCCCCAGATTCCCCTGATAGGGATCTGCCCCTAAGCTCAGAGAACTGTTTCCAGTGAAACCAGGAGGGGAAGCCTTGAGAAAGATGATCCATTCCATTGTTTGTTCTTGAGCCATACTTTTTTTTTTTTCTATTTATATTCTTTTTTTTTTAAGTCTTCAAAACAACTTTTTTTATTTTTTATATTCCCCATACAATTGCAACCCCCTGATTTTGACCCCAATCCCTCCTTTCCCTGCTCCTTTCCCCCCAAAGTGTGTCTCTGGTTCATAGTTGTTTACTGATTTTGATTTTTTTCTTTCTTATAGTTATTATTTTTCCTGGTCCCTTATTTAGGTTTTCTAGATTTCTGTTATGAGTGAGACCATCCGGTAGGACCCAGTGCTTAGATCCTAACTCCTAATGCTGACATAGACTCTGGGAACTTCCTAATGGATCTTGACTGGTTCTGAGACACTCCTTACTCGAGCATCCCAGAAAAGAAGCTAAAGTAAACCAGGCTGTCAGCCCTTAACTGAGGGGGAGCTACTTTCAATTCCCCAATGCTTATGAAGGGGTGGGTTAATGGCAAAAGTTCACTGTTGGCTCTCTTCTACCACATGCAGTAAAGAGGACAGGCAGAAAGAAGATTTTTAGATTCCATGCTAGCACAGAGGTACGTGCTCAAAGAGACTCAGCTGGATGAATGGTCTGTCAGCCCTGTCTGTCCAGAAACCCCCAGCCATCTCCCTAATGCCTAATTCATCCAAGTATTGTTCTTAGAGAACTTAGAGTTTACGCCTCTTTCTGGAACAGCTTGAGGCAGTTTATAGATTGGAATGATGTTTTTAAATAAAGATTTTTAAGGTTGAACGTGACTTGGTGGTTAGAAAGATAACAACAACTACAACAAAAATTAATAGTTACTTCCCAGCAACACAGTGTTCAACACCTAATACATGGGACTGAAAGATTCCTGGCAGAGAAGCCCAAAGGGAAAACCATCGGGTTATTCTATGCTCATTTTCTGATACCAGAAAGTATATGGAATCTCCTGTAGGGAAAACATTTTCCTCAAGCTAAAACTTAATAGGAAGTGATTGTGCTTGATTCTAAGAACACTGAGTGACAGGGTGAAAAGTATGCAATGCAAGTCAGCTAGTGTTTCTCTGCATGCAGTGCTTCTGGTTCTGTGTGTGAGATGGTCATGTCCATGGTCACCAAGCAGCAAGCAGACAGGACCACAGCAGAAGTACTACCCTCCATAGAACCCACAGGCCTGCCTCTTGGCCCAGGGAAAATGAGGGAGGACAAGATGACTAGATTCCCAAAGGCAGAGGAGGAGTCGAAGACCGTGTTTCCCACCCTGATTTTATGAAACAGAACAAACACCATCCAAAGGCATAAATAAGCACCTTGCGAGTAATTATGTGTCACAGCATTTGTTCATTTCATCTTAACAACAATCCTGTAGAGAAGGAATTCTTACTCACATTTTATAAAGAAAGGAAACTGCAGCTCCATTTACCCAACACAGAGGCCACACAGCCTGTAAGGGGTGATGTGGACCTTCAACCTCAGGACTGTGTGAGCACCTCTTTCCCACAAAAGCACCCTGGCCATTCAACTTGACAATTCTTCACTGAAATTTCCATTAGAAAAGAGAAGCTGACCTTCTGGCTGTGAGGGGATGAGAGAATGAGGTGCAGGGATTTCAGGCTTTAATGACAAAACTTAACCTGGGAAAAGAAGTATGAGCATGTAGATGAACCATGGGTAACTTGTCAGTTGCCCTGTCATTGCCTTGTCAGTTGCCTTGTCAGAAATGCCCTGCATTTCTGATGTTTTTCTTGAGATTTTTGGCTGATCATAGGCCACGGTCAAATCACAAGTGATTCTCTATAATTTCACCACTTGTGAACAGATCATGATATATAATCCTTACTTCTCTCCTTGTTAACCCTTCCCATTCATTGCCAACCCCTGAAAAGTTCCAGCCCTCTTAAATGCTGCTCAGAACATGCCATGCTCCCCCACACCTCACAGCCACTGGACATACTGTATCCTTTAAGACTTAGATCTCAGCTCCATCTGGAAACCTCCCCAGCTTCCTCACTCACCTCACCCCACACCATGTGGATGTCACCCCTCTTTGGTTCTCCCATAGGACTCTGTACATACCCGATTTCCAGTGCTATATAGTCACTGTGGCTTTACTCTGGTCTGTGTGCTCCTTATTTATCCTTGTACTCCTAGCATCTTACACAGTGCCTAGCATGTGGAAAAGTGTCCAATAATGTTTGCAGAACAGGGAATTCCTGGGCACTGAATATATAGGGATGAGTAAAACCTGGGCCTTTCCCTTGAGAAGTTAGAGCCTGAAGAAGTCTGAAAAGTAATGATTAGCACCCAATATGGTAAGATCTATAATATCTATGACAGGGGATTTGAGGAGACCAGGAGCAGGAGAAAATAACTTAGGCTAGGGAGTAAGGGAAATCTTCCAGAGGTAATAATATCAGCTGAACCTTAAAATAATGGAAGTTCTTGCCAAACATGCCAGGCAGAGGGGAAAATGTACAGAAGCATGAAAGAGAATCAATGTTTGGAGAATTACAAGAAGTATTGATATTCTGTGCTGTTCTTTTGGAATGAAGAGTGTGTTTTAGATCCCAAACATAAGAGCTAAGGTGGTTGCTCTGTTGTAGGTGGTTTAAGATTTTATTATTCTGATGATTTTGTTTTCAATCAGTCAGATGGATTTTATCACAAGGCAGTAAAGATGTTATAGTCACCTCTGGTTAAATAAAGAGTAAGTTATTTATAGTTTCTGATCCGCCTTCTTACAAAAGTGGTTTGATTTGATTTGTAGTAACAGACACACCCACAATAAGACTATTCATATAGAAAGCAGCAAAGGCTACTGATCGCTTTCTAAAGTCCTTTTCCATCTTTAGCTCATTTGGTGCTCAGGATAATCCTCGGAGGAGGGGCAGTGGGTTGATCTTGCTCAGAGAACAGCATGAAGGGGTGTTCTGGTCTGTTAAAAAAAAAAAAGCCAACAAGGATTTTCCCTCATTTTCCAATGATGCCACATATATTTCCCAGTGTTCTGGATTCTTCAGGTTTCTATTGCCTCCTGGATGTGAATCATCATCTTTACTTCGCTGTTCCTCAGATGCGTTGTTTGTTTGAGCTTCTTCACTCAGCTTTGTTCAGATTCTCTTGCCCTTTTAAACTACTTTTTTTTAATGTCTTCATGCATAAAATTTAGAAGACAGAAAACGAAACAAAAAAAGAAGTCCTTCATGATACTATAACAAAGGATATTCACAGCTAATTCTTTTTTCATTAAAAAAATTTTGGTATCACTCCAGACTTTTAGAAAAGTTTTCAACAATAGGACAAAGAATTCCTGAATCCTCTTCACTGGGCTTCTCAGCTGTTAACATTTTACATTTACTACATTTATTAACTTATTTTTGTTAACTGTTGTTAGCTACTGTTAACATCACATTTGTTTTCTTCCTTCTCTCTCTCCCTCTTTCTCTCTCCATATATGTGGGCATATATATATATATATATATATATATGTTATATACACATTCCACATTCATATATTATATATATTCAAATATATATACACATATTCATTTCCTGTAGCCTTTTAGGAAAAAAACTGCAGACATCATGAACCCTTCTGGAAACCTAAATACTTCAGTATGTATTTCCTAAAAAAGAGATTTCTCTTACATAATCATACTATTGTCTTTATATGTCCCCTTCTAGGCTTTTTTCTATGCATATGTTTGTGTCTAAATAATACATTGTTTTATTTTTCTTTCTTTTATTTATTTATAATGGCCTGCTTTTTCTGAGGGATTGACAATAGCATTGTATATAATATCATGCCAACAAATAGTCTACAACACGATTCTTCATCAGACTCTGACTTTAGACCCCCAGGCTTTCTGGGTGGCACAGCACTTTAATAGGTCACTGTAGTCCTGTGAAGACACTGTCCTTGTGCTCTTACATGTCTAGTCATACATATGTCAGAGGAAACCACTGAGTAGACAAGTAAAGAACAGGGTAGTGGGAAGCCTTGAATGCAAATTTAATCTTTATTCTGAAGACAGCAGAGATCCACTGAAAGGTTTATATGGGGGAGGAAGCCAACAAGAACTGTGTTTTCTGGAGATTAATTTGACAATGTCTGCAGGAGGGAGAGAAGGAGGAAAAAATAAGAGCAGAAGTTCATAAGTCCCCTGGGTAAAATAAACCCTAGTTTCAAGAGCAGATCTCTGCCCAGGTAGAACAGAGCATTCTCCAGCATAATGCATCCTTTTCTTTCACGTGTCTTTCAGAACTGGTTAAAGTCATATGGCTATCTGCTTCCCTATGATTCGCGGGCATCTGCGTTGCACTCAGGGAAGGCCTTACAGTCAGCAGTCTCCACTATGCAGCAGTTTTACGGGATCCCAGTCACCGGTGTGTTGGATCAGACAACGATCGAGTAAGATTTCATAGGACACTGTGCCTTTGACCTTTCCAGACTTACATTGGGGTTCACATTTGTCATATCCTCATGTATACACCATGTCCATCCTATCTTCTTATCTTTTACTCCTGCAGTGTCATCCTGGGAGGGAATACCCCAAGGTGCCCTTTCCTATGTGAGCTGGGGATGTGCTCTGCCATAAACTTGCTGTGTGACCATGGACAAGTCTCTTAACTCTTCTGGGCCTCAGTTTCCTTCTCAGCACAATGAGAGGTTTGGTTATAGACAGTCTTAAATCTCCTCTGACTCCAATAACTTGTGATTCTATGAGTTGCCCCTCTGTATTCTCTGTCCACTCTCACTTGATACAGATCACTCTTGAATGATAATGAGTTGGTCACTCTTATTCCACCTTTTCCATTTAGCAAACATTTGCTGAATGCCCACGTGTGCCAGGTGTGGTGCTTGACTCTATGATCCCTACCCTCCAGAGGCTCACCATTTAGTGAAAGACACAATCACCCGTCTACACCAGTATAGAATTCAGAAGGAAGCACTGAGTTTCAGAGAGATACTTATGAGGTAATAATAAAATGCCAAACCATGAGGATGGGCCGATCACTGAAAGAGAGCATAAAGAGGAGCAAGAGAAGCTGGGGCTAGAGTCCATCAAAGCAAGTTGAGAAAGAGCAGCCAGAGAGGTAAAGGAAGCATGGGGATGCCATGTCTTGGCGGGGATGGTTTTGGGGGAGTAAGGGTAGGTCAGCGGGGTCAGTTGCCACAGAACAGTCAAACAGGAGACTGAAAAACATTTGAGTTTAAGCACAAAGAGGCCATTGCAATCTCAGCGGAATGGTGGAGACAAAGTCAGATTGCAGTGGGGAGAAGGGGACGTGAGGACCAGAGATGACAAGTTTAGGGAAGACTTTCAAGAAGCTTGACAGTGAAGGGAAGGAGAAATAAATGGTAGTCAGAGGGATGAGCATGCTGAGAGCTGAGCATGTTTAAATTTAAGATATAGCCCTGAATATTACTAAAACTGTTAAGAACAGCCATTACTGCCAGGAAGGCATAGGAAGAAGCTGGAGTGACTTCCCTAAGGAGGGGTGGAATTCTGAACTCCAGTGGTAGAAGCAGCAGACCTGGGGAAGGATGGGCAGAAGTTGGTGGGTGGAGGGAAAGGAAATCTACCCCACTGTGGATCAAGGATCAATCTACCCCTTGGGTGAATCACTCCTTGAGACAATCATTTATCTGAACCTCAGCTTGTTCACTTGCCAAGTATTGGGTTACAGCTCTCAAATTTAAGATTCCATTATTCTAAGCTTTTAAAATTTGGTGACTTTAGGGCCTCCCTGGTGGTGCAAGGAGTTAAGATGCAACCTATGAAGCTGTCCGCAGCCACTACAGCACAAGTTTGAAACCCCGGCCAGCCAGGGAGCAACCCACATGGCGCAACAGACCTCTCCTTGCTCGCCCGCTGCTCTCCTCAGTGTACTTTGGTCAATCTGCCTGTTCTTCTCCCCACTCTCTGGTGAATCCTCTCACCCCCCACACTTCTGGCCTGTACCCCAGCTCTTGTATGCATAAATAAATAAATCTTTTAAAAAAAAAAAAAAAGCTGGTGTTTTAAAAAAAAAAAAAAATTTGGTGAGTTTGGGATTTTATGATCCTAACATTCTGCCCCAACAGTTCCTATTCTGGCTGTGGGTGGTGAAATTCTGAGATAATACATTTTACTGCTCTTTGTAAGGACAGTGGAGTCCCAGGCCCTGTGGCCTCACAAAAGAGCTGGCTACAGAGCGCCCAATGGCCTTGCAAATAGGAGGTTTTTTTGAGGGCTCTGAGCAGTCCTTGGGCGGCAGCTCTGGTGGCTCTGCTGAGGCACCACCTGGCCTTGGATTTTACTCCATTCCAGAAAGCCCCAGGGCTCTTGGACAGGGTTCAGAGAGTGGCAGGTGGATGGCAAGAGGAGGCAGAAGGAACGATCTGAGGGAGGAGGATGGCATTTCCCACTTGCAGTTCTGCCCCCATCTCTTAGTAGGAAGGTGGAGGAATGCTGTTTTGAAAGCAAAACAAAATTTCTGAGATAACACATTTGACTGCTCTAATGATGTGATGGAGGGGCTCATACAATACCAGACCTGAGTGGGGAGGTTGTTTGGGTAGAACTTAGAGACCTTTGTTTTGGCTCCAGTTCTATAACCTTGGCAGTTGCTGCCCTTCTCTGCCTAGACCTCCAGGACTAGGTCAGCCTTGCTGTAGCTTCTGGTTCTCTTTCCAGGGACTCGTAGTGATAGGAAGCTAGACTGGCAATTTAACATACTAGTTTTGAGTATCTACATTGGAAATTAGTTATTCATTCATTTATTCATTTGACAACCGTAGTTCCTCTAGTCCAACCTTGTGCTAAGCACATAAGGAAAAAATGAAAGTTCTATCCTTTGTTAAATTGCATCAGTTAATAGTCCCTTTAGGGCCTCCCTGGTGGGAGTTAACAGGGATTAAAGTCTCCCCCCTTTAACAGGGGTTAAAGTCTCAGCACTATCAAGCTATCACCAGCCACTGCAGCAGGAGGAGTACAATCCCCAGCCAGGGAGCTAACCCACATGGCACAGCAGACCTCTCCTGTCTCGCCCGCTGCTCCTCTCAGCAGTGTATTTCAATAGATCTGCCTGTTCTGCTCTCCACTCTGTCTCTGGTGAATCCTCTTACCCCCACACCTCTGGCCTACAACCCAGTTCTTGTATGCATAAATAAATTTTTAAAAAGTCTTTTTAAAAAAATAGTCCCTTTATTCACTCAACTAATTTCCAATCCTGCCTCACGGTTTGTAGTATTTTGCAAACTACTTGATTGACCTGTATATCTTTTCCTTCACCTGTAAAATGGGGATAAATAATGATAATTTCTAGTTATCTCACAGAGTTGTTTGGAAAATCAAAAATCTTGAAAAAAAGAAACTGAACACTGAAAATTCGCAATGTTGATATGAACAGCTGGTGGTGTTATTATTATGTCTTTTATTCTTGATTTCTAGTTTGAGACAGTCTAGGCAATGTGGAAAAAGATTAGTAAAACCTGGTGAAGTCCCTCAAGGAATTTTTAATATTTGGTTCAAATGGATCTGTTTTCTTTTCTCCCTACTGCCAATAGCAACTGCTTTCAACAGCTGCACGAGTCAGGAGGCTTTTCCGTCTAGCAACTCCAGCAATTGTTGATCTAGTTGGTCACAAGGCCAGCACAAGCACAGAAAATGCCAGCATGGCCTGGGCCTCAGTTGGCCATGCTCTTTAAATCTCTTACCCTAATACCTTCTTTAAAAATCATGGATGATATCCCATGCTTGTTGTTCCCTAAGGTAACTTCACTTGACAACAAAGAGCTATCCAGGTTTACTCAATTATAGCACTGGGATAGCTCCTGGAAACACAATGGTGAATATAACATAGTTCCTGTCCTCAGAGAATTTATCATCTGTTAGAGTTAACACACTAAAGAGATTTAAAATCACACTACAGTGTAATAAGTGTTGTGGAGAATTACGTTCCAAGTCCTACAGTTAGTCGTTTCACCTATAGTGAAAGGGGATTTGCTGCCTTCCAAGCTATGCCATTCTAGTATTGAATAGTCCTCATTCACTCATTCAACAAGTCATTATTGAGCACCTTCTGTGTCAACCATCGTGCCAGCACCGGAGATACAGGCAAAGTTCCTGTACTCAAGAAACTTAAAATCGGTGGAAGAGATAAAGAACAAGAGAGCTAATATGTAAATTCAGGGAAGGATAAATGCTATGCAGAAAAATTAATCAGGACAAACAGCAGTGGGATGAGGAAGGGGAGGCTTTAGATAGAGTAGGCAGGAAGTCCTCTTTGAAGGGGGGAAATTTGAGCAAAGATCTTAATAAAATAGGGAACAAGCCACGTGAGGTCTTCCTTGTAAGCAGAGTGCACAGTAATGCAAAAATCCCAAAGTAGAATAATTTTAGCTGGTTCAAGGATCAGCAAGAAGGTCACTGTGGCTGGAACAGGGATATGAGGGGAGGAAGGTGGAGATATCAAACAGCGAGGCAGGGACTACACCATTCAGGATTCTGTGGGCCAAGGTGTGGAGTTTGCGTTTTATTCTAGGTGCTTGGAGGAGTCATTGGGGGATTTAAACCAAGTAGTGATGTGATCTAATTACATTTACAGAGCATTTCCACATAGACTCCTTCCTTTGAGGCTCACTACCAGCTAAGAACAGCAGAAGTAAAATTCTCATGTTGCAGATGAGGAAACTGGGGCTCAAATTGACTCAGTCATTTGCTTAGTCTCCTATGAGTAGCGGTGGAGCTAGAACTTCATGTCTTCTGACTCCCATTCTCTTAGCAACAATGTTTCTTCATATTCAATTGTGATTGAGTGAATGAGTGAATGGAAGAGTGAATGAATAAGTCTATTGTGTTCCTAGTGAGCAACTCATGAGAGCCAGAGTCCTAGAGTCTAGGTAGAAGATACACATTGCCATTTAGTCTGGGACTGGGGACGCTTCTATTCCTTCCGAGAAAATTCAGTGATCACAGTATGTGTGTGTGTCTCCTCTCTGCCCAGGTGGATGAAGAAACCCCGGTGTGGTGTCCCTGATCATCCCCACTTAAGCCGCAGGAGGCGAAACAAGCGCTATGCCCTGACTGGACAGAAGTGGAGGCAAAAACACATCACCTACAGGTGCTTTGAGTCTCTCTCCTCCTCCCACCCCGGCTTTGGATTCACCCTCACTTTCTTCCTGGGTTTCAGAGGCTCACACTATAGGTATAACTGTGATTAGGGTGAGGACCAGGTATGTGTACATCACCGCCAGGTAGTGAGAGCCTATGACTCTGTTCTCCTTGTGGCTTCCAGAAGATGCTGGCTGTCTCCAACTTCAGGTTTATTTGGTCCTTTGGGGGCTCTTCAATTGTGTTTTGTTTAAATCCCTATAGTTTTCAGTTCCAGAAAGTAGGATGTGGAGTGTTGAGTAACTTTCTATTATGATAAAGAACCAGGCTGAACTCATCCTATCACTGCTAGCCAAACCAAACTTCCTCAGATCTGGGTCCCTTCCCCCACTTAGCCAGCTGGACTCCACCCAAGCTTCCAAATATGGAGGCCCAGTTGTTTTTTGAGAAGTATTAAGACTAGAGAACTGAACCACCAAACTGTCTAGGGAAACCAAAGATAGAGCAGAATCAGCCTCCAAGTCAGACCAGCAACCAAGAGCAGGGTTGATGGAACCCATCACAGCAGACCCAGACATCCAAATTTACAGCAGGACTGGGGCAAAGGCTGGGCAGGGGGCAGGCTCCAGTGAGCTCTGGTTGACACCTTTCAAGGAAAAGTGGATCTATCGCAGGTAGATGCCCTATGTGGAGGGGTAGGCTCTAAGATGGAGATACTTGGTGATGAACTAAGGACTCTCCTGCTGAAGAACTGTAGAAACTAGAAGATGATTTGCTAAAAAATCTGACAAGAGGGAAGCTTAAGAAGAATCCAGTTAAAAACTGCATAGACTCTCTTAGCGTCTTCTGAAGAGGCAGCATGGATCAAGAGAAAGAAGAACTGGCTTCTCACTCAACCCTAAGCCTTAATTTCTGCCACCAGTCTCTCTGGCCTTCGGTCTCCTTACTTATAGAATGAGTCCATAATCCTGCTCTAGGTGTTCATGGGCACCCAGAAGTAGTGATGCTCCCTGTGGAGAATCATGCAACATGAATACAGCACCCTTACATAGTTCAATTTATAACCGATTCAGTCAAATCCCTCCTTTTACCACAAATACCAGCTTCTAGGTAAACAAACAGTTGTTGTTGCCAAAGATTTTTGTAAGGAATGCTTCACTTAAACTCTCCCTGTTTAAACATTTTTATAATTCTTAATATATATTTTGTATGTATTAAGAGAAAAACTTAAAATTTAGAAAATGATGTTCACCAACTTAATTTTTTTCTACAACTTGCAGTGGAATCCTATAATCAACACAAATTTTGTCAGAGATAAAACATAAAACAGTGATTAAAGCAAAGCCACTCTGACTGAGGTGGGATTGGGACCCTGAGCCTTGCCTCCTAAGATTCTTCTTTAACCCCTGGTCTTTAACCCTGGGGTAATTCAGAAGAATTCAGCAGAATTCTAGACTTCCCAATTTGAAGGTCATTGGACCATATGGTCCCTGATGTCCCTTTTAGCTCTGCTAGGCCTGACTATCTGTTCCTCCTTAACGATCCTCCTCTCTCTCCAGCATTCACAACTACACCCCAAAGGTGGGTGAGCTGGACACACGAAAAGCTATTCGCCAGGCTTTTGATGTGTGGCAGAAGGTGACCCCGCTGACCTTTGAAGAAGTGCCATACCATGAGATCAAAAGTGACCGGAAGGAGGCTGACATCATGATCTTCTTTGCTTCTGGTTTCCATGGTGACAGCTCCCCATTTGATGGGGAAGGAGGATTCCTGGCCCATGCCTACTTCCCTGGTCCAGGGATTGGAGGAGACACTCACTTTGATTCAGATGAGCCGTGGACACTAGGAAATGCCAACCATGATGGTAAGACCATGAGGGGGGAGGGGGTCAGTCCTGGGTCACTCAGTGGTCACGGGAAGAAGCCCTGAGGATGAGCTTAGAGGATACCATAGATGGATTTCCTGGTCTCTAGAGTTTCTTGTCCAGGAACTAGGAATCTAAGAGAGTGATAATATTCAACACTTGACCTACTAGGACCAGAGCCATAGAGATGAGTCTGAGTACTCAGTGAAGGCACTGAGTCAGGAGGAAAGGGTTAGGCCATGAATAAGATAAAGTAATAAATCAGAAGCTGAAGAAAAGGGCCTAAAAGACTGAAGGTGGGGTCTGAAAATATAGGCTCACCTCACCAAAGCTTCAAAGGCCTTCGTATGACTAACTCTCTCCCTATGTCAATGTTACAGGCAAGTAATAGGCCCCATAATTACTCTAGCTTCCTTGGATAACTTGCTCTTCACTACTATAATTCAATGAGTAGTATATGGGACCAGAGGCAACCCTGTGCAGTAGTAGTAATAATACCCTCCAGTTGTAGGAGTTTCTCATTAGTATTTACTCACAAGGCCCTTGCTTAGTAAGAAGGCAAGTGTGCATCATTAACATTTTCAGGATGAAGAACTTGGAGCTCAAATGGCATGACTGGTAGGTGGCAGTATTGGACTCAAACTATAGTTTAATCACCTGGCGAGGTGACTAGGTCCAGTCATACACCCTCAGTCTCTTAATCTGTAAAAGGAGGGATTGGATGAGGTGATACCTAAGGTTATTTCCAACTCTAATGCAACATGATGCACAGTCCAAACATTTTTTTAATTACATGGTCTCTGGCCCTCTGAAAGTCCAAAGTTGAATGGGAGAGAAAGCTATGTACATAAGCAGCCCTGTCACAAGGTAGACTTTACTGAAGGATATAGCAGAAGAACCAAGAAGATGCTGTGGGAGTGTAGAGGAGAGAGAAACAGAGGATTCTATTTTGATCTGTTTTAGATTATAATCGGTAATAATTAGTATGCTAATATTCTAAGACTCATGTCAAGTGTTGTCCACAAATTATGTAACATGTATATATTATTATTACCCCCATTTTACAGGTAGGTAAACTGAAGTATAGAAAAACATAAAGTAACTTACCTAAGGTCCCATAGTTGGTGAATGGTGAAATAAGGCTTTGAATGTAGGCCTTATCACCAGAGCCTATACTCTCAGTCACCATGCTAAGCCTCCATGGCTCACAAACTTCAGGGCACACAGAATCACCTAGAAACTTCTCTAAGAATGCAGGTTCCAGGCTCTAGGCCCCTAATCTCTTTCTGTTCTGGTTCTGGGGTTAGACCTGGGAATCTGTACGTCATCTAATAAATTCCCCAGGTGCTTCTGAAGCAGGTGTTCTATCACCTTGAGAAACACTGTCTTAATCCCCAGTTTCCCTAACTTGCCTGGTCATAAAAATCAACTGAGCTTCTTCTTATCAATATGGGTTCCCAGGTCCTCCCCTGACTCTAATTCTTAAGTTGAGGCAGGTTTGGGACACACTAGCAATTCTTTTCCCTTGTCTATGCTTCCAGCTGAGGAAAGACTTACCAGCCCATTTCCTGGAAGGCGTGTCTGGGTCTGTCGATGGGGACCACCTCCTTGAAAACATTTCATTTCACTGCATGGATCAAAAACCCCCCAGCTCTTAGCTTATATGCCAAAGGGTGGATCAGGAAGTGCTTTGGCCAAGGTTCAGCAAAAGCAAAGTTATGAAACTTAAATTTCTCTTTGTCCCTGCCTTTTTCAAAGTTTTGTCCTATTTCCTATCAAACTCCATTTCCTCTGCCCTGATGCCCTGGATGTGTTTTCTGGCTTTCTGAAGCCTTTCTTTATCTCGTTCTTATTCTTGGATCAGTATCAGTGAATGGCTGGCTGTACTCACTGATAAAGTGCAAGAAGAGAACTAACATTTCTGAGCCCCTTCCATGTGCCAGGCACTGTCAGCTGATAAGATTTTAGTTATGACCCTGATAGAGATAAATGAATTTTTTAAGGTATTGCCCAGAGAAGGCACCGGGAGGACACATCTACTCTTCTGCCCTCCCCTTCCTGGTTCTGAGAGTTTGCAAGTCCCACAACCACCCCTACTGTTACAGACCTTGGCCCCACTCTCAAAATCTCAAGAACTTCTTGTGGAATGTGTGGGAAGGAGCTGGGCACCACCCCAGCACCCTGCAGCGTGTACTGTCCCTACCTGATGAATGAGTGTCAATTCTGATAGAAATTCTAATGTCTAATGTCTCCTTTGGACAAGAATCAATACTTTTCTGTGCTCTGGAAAACCAAGCATGAACTTCACTGCTACAGTTCATAACCACAGCAACAGACCTCTGGCTGTCAAACTGGAATGCAGTGAACTGCCCTAGCACAGCTTTTGGAAAGAGAGTGGGAGTGTAGAAAAGGAACCAAAATTTATTGAGCACTTGTGTATTATCTCACCTAATTTCCACATAAATTCAGGGAAGGAATAAGCAGAATCTCCAGGGAATTTTTTGTGTATTGACTTTCTTCTCTATTCTAAATTTCTGTTACAGAAAATTTCACTCTCACAAAAGCAGGGAGAATGATACTATTAACCCCCAGGCACCCATCACCCTGCTTCAGCAGCTATCAACTTTATGCCATGCCTACTTCCTCTACCCTCCTCTGCTTTTATTTTTTGACTGATGTCTTTAAAAAAAAAAAACCCAGGCATATTATTATTTCACCATAAACATTTCAGTATATATCTCTAACACATTATTTTTAATACAACCACAAAATCATTACCAAGCCCAACTAAATTAACAATAATTTCTTAAAGTCTAATATCCAGCTTTGTGTTCATCTTTGCAAATTACCTCAAAAATGTCTTTTACAGTTATGTTTTTTCCATTTTATACTGATTTTTCATTTACTAATTCCTTAAGAGTTTCATTTGCATTGATTGCCAAACAACATCCACATATCCTACACAGCTGACGTGTCTATTATGGCCCTTTTCACTGATAGTCACCTCGCTTTCCTTCACCCCCCCACCCCCTTATTTGTTAAGAAACTGGGTCATTTGTTCTGAGCATAATCACTTGGCTTGACTAGATTCAGGTTCATTTTTAACATGTGTCTCCTCCCCAGAGTTCCTGAATCCTGGTGATGAGATCTAACATCCGACTGGATTCAGGTTCACCTTTTTGGCAAGAATCCTCCCAGGGTGGTGCTAGTCCTCCCTCTTGCCTCATACTGCAAGCACATATGCTGCAGTTTGTCCCACTTTTAGTGATGTTAGGTTGAGTGTGTGGTTCAGGTGTGTCAGCCTCAACCAATCACAAAATTCATCTGCACAACTTCAAAAAAAAAAAAAAAAAGCTGACCTACCTGGCCCAAAACTCCTGATCCCCATGTCTACCTGTGTTTCAAAGGCTGCCCTGGACTGAAAGGGACCCCAGTTTTCTACCTCGTGTGTGGAGTCTGTGTGAAGGGCAGTCTGGCTGCCCCACCTTTAAGCCAGTTTCCGTGGCTGCTTCCAGGCACCTTCTGCCCTCCTCTCCTTCAAATGAGTCAAGCAGTGAGGTCAGCAGAATTCACTAAGCTCTGCTGGGGTGGGAGCCCGCCCGGGGAAGGTGACAAGACAGGAAGAGTCATCGAGACCGGCCCATCCCAGGGTACAGCCCTTCCACAATTACTTCAGTGGCCCTCCCCACCCCAAGCTTCCCAGCTGGACCAGGCAGATTTCCTAATCTCCATTTTATAGATGAGGAAAGTAAAGTTCTGAGTGGCTCAGAAATTCACACAGTCGGTAAGTGGCAGAGCCAGGTGTTCAGCCAGGACTCTGAATTCTTAACTTGTACCAGGTGGTTCTGCTGCAGGTAGGCCAAGGACCATGCCTGGAAAAATACTGAATGAGCTGGCAGCTGTCGCCTATCCCTGTCAAGCACAAAGTTTACCCTCAAGGAGCTCACAGTCCTAGGGCAGATGAGTGTGGGCTAGTGACTATAATGGAGAGTGGAAAGCAGTTGATACCATGAAGATGTCCCAGACAAATTCTGGGAGAGTGCAGAGGAGGAAGCGCTCACTGCCAGCAGGGGGATCCTCCTGCAAGTTGTGCTTTGAGCTGAACTTTGGAGGAGTGAGGCTATTCCAAGTGCAGGGGACAGCATTGGCAAAAGAATAGATGGAAAAGGAGAGACTCTCTTTTGGGGCACTGAGAGAGTAAATGAGATGGAACTCATGAAATCTGGAAGTGCTAAGAGAGGAAATGAAGCAGAAGCTTGAGTAGCTGAGTAGATTGTTGGGTGTGTGGTAGGACGCCCAAGACTTGGTCTGAGTCCATGGGGATACTCCTGTTGGGGATGCTTGTTCTCGTACACAGTTGGATGTGCTATGTCCTGATCAGTATCCTGAGGATACTGATGGTTGTGTGTCAGGAGGCAGTATGGGCACTTTACACACCTTGCCATGTTAATCTTCGCCCCATTCTTATGATGAAGGTACATTATTCCTTTCATTTTACATAGGCAGAGAGTTAAAATGTCACAAGGCTGGGACATGATGGCAAAGCTAAATCATGGCAGTCTGGCTCCCAGGACTATACCTCTGATCATTCTGCTTCCCTGCCTCTCACTGTCTGAGGGAGTAAAGACCCTAACAGTCTCCCACCCGTTAAGTCCTGGGGTCTTCTCTGTCCCTTTCTTTTCCCCTCACAAGCTTCATGGAGTTCTCCAGCTCCTCCCCCCTCTCCTTTCTCCCCCACCCCACAGCAGTCCCCATGGAACAGGCCTCTTGGGGTTCTCTGCAGCTCCCCATCATCTCTGCCTGTTGGCCCCTCTTGTTCAAGGGCTTACTCCCACTCTGCAGATACCGGGTACAGAAACTAGCTCAGACATAGGCTGAGCACAAAGGTTTAGAGTCTTACCAGGTGTTCAGAGCCTTGCTCCCTGGGTCCCAGCTGAGATCCCCAAGCCTGCCCTGGAGGGAGAGACTGGTTTAGGAGACAGGCCTGAACAGCTTGTCCTGGGTCTAAAAGCCAGGCCGGAGCTGAGCCAGGGCTGGACCCCAGGAAGCAGAGCTGCCTTCTGCTGGCTCTAGCAGTGGCTTTTCCTTGGGATGGAGCTCAGAAATGAGCTCACCCTTCGCCGCTGCCAAAGGGACCAGGACCTGAGGAAGGAACTGGGGGTGGTCTGGCCTCCGTATGCCAGCTTGCCTTGCCCCAGCAGAAGGCCAGCCCCAGGCTTTTGGCCAATCTGCACTGATCTTGCCCATCCCACCTTCACTGAAGACACTGGTGGTGTCAGCACCTGCCCTGTGGGTCTCTTCCCAAGACCTTAGCCCGGAAGGCAGAGATCACTCCCAGCCCCATCTGACCGCTCACAGGGCCCTTGGCTCAATGAGGGCAGGGAACTTTGTTGGTTTTTTTGGGGTGGGGACACTGGAGCCAGAATGGGATTCTAGGACTCCTGACCATCTCTTGGGCTCCTGAAGTCTCCCCTGCACTTCAAAGTGGCAGGAATGGGCTTTCAATGTACCTTAGAGCTGGGTCATACAAGCAGTTCTCAAGGGCATTCAAATGCCAGAGATCAGGGCACCAGAAGTCTAACTGGACAGACAAGAGTCAGGACTGTTGATACTCTCTGCCCATTGACATTCGTTCTCAAAGTTGGGATGACTTAATTCCCCCAAGTCAGGCCTTGCCCTGTCCCAAAAATGCTCCAGTAGCTCAGGAGAACTGGCTTTCAGAGGACCTGGCTGGGGGAACACACTGACCTGTGCTTCCTTTCTGGACAGTGGGCTTATTCTGGGCACCGAGCTGGCATCTGATGCATGGTACCAACCATGCCCTTTACACTTATCCAGTTCTCCACAACCCTGTGAGGTAGGTGTGATTCCCCCATTTTACAAACAGGGAAACAGGCTTGTGCCAAGTTCACAAAGCTGGCAGGGGTGAACTGGAAGTGAAGGAGATAGGTCCTCTGTGCCATGCTCCTGCCTCAGCTTTACACCAGGTCCCACGACCCACTTTTAGCACTGCCACCTTGTTGTTTTCACTTGCAGTTGAATCACTGCCTTGATCTTGGCCCTAGTTCAGTTCCCTTGGGAGCAGGTCCTGTAGGACTGGGAACTAGCTGCCCCACCACCCGGGCCTAGCCTGGCCCTCGGTCTCCTTGAGCTGACCTCCTGCTTGCCTCCCCCCTGCTCCCCAGGGCTCTCCTCTGCTTGCCCACACTTGCTCCGCCTTGGCAGCTCAGGCCCTTTTCATTTCTCCTCTGCACCCCAGCACCTGCGTCTGAACTGACCCCACTGATCCCCCTGCCTCTCGTCTCATTATCCTCTAATCCTCCCTCCACTTGCAGCCAGTGATTTCCTCCTGTCACCACCCCCCACTGGCCAAGAAGCCAATCCAAATGCCTCTGCCTGGCATCACAGGGCCCTGCTTGCCAGCCTGGCTGACCTCACTTCGCTCAGGCCCTCCCTTTACACTGTTCCACAGCCAAGTGGAATGAAACTGTTTGTCCCTGGATCTTGTTTACAGCATTCCCTCTGCCAGGAAGGCCACCCCCACCCCTTTTCCTCTCCTACCCACTGGCTTCTCTTCACTAACTTCTTATCTTGCAAGACTCACCTTAAGCTTCACCCTTATGGAGCTTGCCCTGAACATCTTCCTTCAAGTTTAAATGACTCGTTCCTCCTCAGAATCCTTACTCTACCCTTACAGACAGCTATTAAAGCACTAGTTTCACTTATTTTCTCTCTCCATATCCCCCATGATAAGGAGCATTCTCGAAGGTATGGATTGCTCCTGGTTGTCCATACATCCTGTACAGGGGGGCCTGGGCCTGACACAAAGTACATACATTTGGTGTTGCTGAAGGAATGGATTTGCTGACTGACACCTAAGTGGGTGCCTGTGCACCTCCCATCTCCTCCTCCACAGGGAATGACCTCTTCCTGGTAGCTGTGCATGAGTTGGGCCACGCGCTGGGGCTGGAGCACTCCAATGATCCCAGCGCCATCATGGCACCCTTCTACCAGTACATGGAGACGCACAACTTCAAGCTGCCTCAGGATGATCTCCAGGGCATCCAGAAGATCTACGGTGTGTGGCAAGGGGTACAGGGCCACTGCTCCTTCCTCAAGGGTTGGGCTGTGTTTGCCTGCTTGGGGGGGGGTGTGGAAGGCAGGGGTGCAGGGGGAGCACTGTCATCTGTCAACCAGCTGCCTGTCTCTGTCCACTGTCTGACCTTAAAAGGTTTTGCTGTCTTTACTTGATCAAAGGGGTCAAGTCTCCGTTCCACACACCACACCTAGGAGAGGGTCTGAGCTGTGGCTGAGAGGGACAGAAGTGAGCAGAGGCCCACCCACTCCCTCTTTTCTACCCCCACACCCTTTCGTACACCTCCCTCTCATGGTTCACTCTCATGGGGCCCCCCTTCTAGCCAAGTGACTCACACATCTGCCCAGGTAATGTTGGTATAATGTGATGAGTATCATTTCTTCTTTTCTTAAACAACAAAATGAGAAGTCAGACCAATATCTTGAGAAGAGATGAGAGGCCTGTGACCATGCCTCCTCCCAGTTCTCTGTTCACACTAGCGTCTGACTTTCTTGTTCTTGTCAAAAGGTCAGTTTACTTGAGTAAACGCACATCCACACATAGCATAGACCCCTAGTCACAGGCTAGAGAGGCCTGAGGGGTGACTCCAACCAGCACCCTGGCGTATGAGTAGGATCTCCCCACATGAAGCAGTAGAAGGCCAGACACAGGTGGTGGGGACTAGAGGGTAATTCAAAAGTAGATGGACAGGATTTGCTGATAGACTAGACTCAGTATGGGGTCAAGGAGAACACCAAGGTTTATGGCTTTCGTAATTGTGGAGTAATAGGATTACCAGCTCAGAGATATGGGGTGGGATATTGATTTGGGATCTTTGGTGTCCAATATAGCCATTAGCCATGTATGACTACTGAAATTGAAATTTAGATAAATTAGAATGAAATAAAATTAAAATTTTAGTTCCTTTGTCACAATAGCAAGTATCTCTCATTTCAGTAGTCACATGTGGCTAGAGGCTGCTGCACTGGGAAGGCAGACACAGGACATCTCCATCATCACAGATCTGATGAGACAGCCCCAGCCCAGAGGGCCTTGGATGACCATCTTTAATGAGATCACTCAGGGGAATGATTCTCAATGTGGTAGTCCACTGGAATCACTTTGGGGTTTCCCTAAGAAAGATCAGACCCAGCCTTCATCAATTTAGTTTTAATTGGTCTGGAGTACCTTTGAGCACCCAGATTTTAAAAGCTTCCCATATGATCCTAATACGCAGCCCAAGTGAGAAGAACTAACCTAGAGATGAAAAATAGAAGAGAAGGGGACTTGGGGACTCCATGAGGTAGAAGAAAAGCCTCTGGTTTGGCAACTGAGGCCTTTGGTGACACTGACAGAGATGTCTCTGTGGACAGAGACTGTATTTGAATGTAATGAAGAATAGAAGAGGGAGTGGGGCCAGGGGGCATAGCTCAAAGAGGGTATGGGACACTGAGCCCAAGAAGGGACATGTTCTCCCTTGTAACAGAAGAGACAAAGAAGATACCAATTTGGGGTGAAGAGTTCCCATGTGATGGCTATTTTCTCAAAGATTGGGGAAGTATAAAATGCAGAGAGGGGAGAAGAGGCTGGAGGGAGTCAGCCTTGTCTCAGAGTTGCCAGGTGTACGAAAAGACGGCAGTGAAAGGTAGGTACCAACCGACCCTCTCTAAGATGCAGCCCCTTTCTCCAGGACCCCCTGCCGAGCCCCTGGAGCCCACAAGGCCTCTCCCCACGCTCCCCGTCCGCAGGATCCACTCGCCCTCCGAGAGGAAGCATGAGCGCCAGCCCAGGCCCCCTCGGCCACCCCTCGGGGACCGGCCATCCACACCAGGTGCCAAACCCAACATCTGCGATGGCAACTTCAACACAGTGGCTCTCTTCCGGGGCGAGATGTTTGTGTTTAAGGTAGGGCCCCTCAATTGGCACCACCCAAATGGTCCCCTCCCAATCCTTCTACCAAGGAGTCAGAGAAAGCTCTGGGATTAGGCCTCCTGTGGGCCCTGGAAGGAAGCTGGCTCAGTGGCCAGGACACAGGTCTCTTCCAAGTGTTGTGAAGCAAATGGACTTGTTTCCAAGCAGGAGGGGAGAAGCTAGGTGACTACACACCTCCCCAGGGGCAAGAAGGGGATCTGGGCACATGTCTCCATCACACTGGTAGGGTTAAAGAAGGCTGCCCAGTTCCCTCCTAGAGTTCTTCCCAGCAAACTTTGAACAATGAACAAGAATTAGGAAACAAGTGTCAGCCCAGTCTTGCCTCTCACTGAGTGGCTCTAGAAAGTCGCTTGGCCTTCCATAAGACTGTACATCTCAGATGTACTTAACAAGAGTTGTAAGAGTCAGAATAAGGTTAAAAACACTAGATGTGAATGTGCTTTTTAAAACACCTTTTAGAAACTTTTTCTAGCTTTTGTACCATCTTTCACAAATCACATTCATTCTTCTACACCCTAGGATCCCCCAGCTGGACTTTCCTTGGCCAGTCTGGGTTCTTTCATCAGCATTTACAAATGAGGAAAGGAAAGGAGGTCCTGGGTGCTTATGGGCCTTGCCCAGGCTGCTTATCAGCCACAGGCTGCCATGGGACAAGGCACCAGTTTGAAGAGGAGGTTTTCGTTAGATGTGGCCTACTGAGCTATATCAAGCATTGACCATGTGTCCCAAACTGTTCCTGACACTTCGCCTATAATCTCCCATTTGAACCCCCACTATTACCACCATTTGCAAGCCAAGTGCTTTAGTTATTTGCCCAAGTTCATGCAGCTGTAAGTGAAGGAGCCTCAAGTTCATGCCCAGGAATTCCCACAGCTTGCTCCCCACAGTCCTGGCCCTGCTGAATGGAACCAGCCATGAGGACACTGCCTAGGCCCACTTTATGCTGCCCACCAGCCCTGGGAGTGGCCTGATTGATGTCAGTGACTCTCTGCTGCCCTCATGTGGCCACTTCAGGCCATATGCAGTCATTCCCTTCAGCTCCACACTTTCTTCCCTCCCCCCAGGCCTGTGGAGTATGGCTCTCTCTCTGTCTCTCTCTCTGTGTCTCTCTCTCTCTTCTCTTCTCTCTCTCTCTCTCTCTCTCTCTCTCTCTGTCTCTCTCTCTCTCTCTCTGTCTCTCTCTCTCTCTCTCTCTCTCTCTCTCTCTCTCTCTCTCTCTCTCTCTGCCCCTCTGCAACTAGAGCCATCAGAGGCTTACAGAAATGGAGTTAAGAGTTACTCCTATCTTCTTCATAGGGCTTTGAAAGAAGCAGTAGACTGACCTTGTAGGAGGATTGCAAGGCTGGGTTAAGGGAAAGGTTGGGTTGTTGGGGCCAGAGTCCCAGGGCTGAGATCACTGGGTACAGAGGCAGGGCCTACCATACTCCCGGCGCTCTCCTTTCACCTCTCTGCCCCAATCCAGGATCGCTGGTTCTGGCGCCTGCGCAACAACCGGGTGCAGGAGGGCTACCCCATGCAGATAGAGCAGTTCTGGAAGGGCCTGCCCGCCCGCATAGATGCAGCCTACGAAAGGGCCGATGGAAGATTTGTCTTCTTCAAAGGTAATGTGGCCTGCGCAGAGAGGGGCTCCCTGCCCTTGTCTAGGCACCTTTCTCCCATCTATATATTAGAAGAAGTGGGGTGGGAGGCAAATGCCCTCCAAGGGCCTATCTGGCCCTAATAGAGACACTGACCTCACACAAGACAGATCTCTGCAGGCAGGTGGTGTACAGTCAAGCCAAGGAGTGGTTACTGAGGGTCACCATGTGCCCAGGTTGGTGGAGAGACACCTCACTCACAAGTAGAGGGTGGCACCATCCAGCACTCTGTGGGAGGCCATCCTGTCGTTTTGGTAAGAGCCCGAAGGGAGAAGGTCACAGAGGCCAGAGAGGTCAGGGAAGGGGAGGCAGCTAACTCACAAGGCATGCTCACCCTGTGCTAGGTTGTTTCACTCTGATGATTTTGACTTGGGCCAGGTCCTGGAAGGGAAAGACACAGAGAGTGAGAAGCATGGAATCGTTCCAAGGAGCACAGCACGGGTAAAAGAGTGCAGGGTGGGCACATACATTCAAAAGGCTTAGAGGACCCACCTAAAACCCACTGGGCCCCTCACTGGAGAGCTGTGCAAAGCAGCCTGGAAAGGTAGTTTGGGAAGAGTCCTGAGGAGCCTTGGTTGTCAGGCCAGAATATAGTCTTTTTTTTTTTAAAGATTTATTTATTTATTTACACAAGAACCGGGGTACAGGCCAGAGGTGCAGGAGGGTGAGAGGATTCACCAGAGAGAGAGTGGGGAGCAGAACAGGCAGACTGACTGAAATACACTGCTGAGGGGAGCAGCGGGCCAGACAGGAGAGGTTGCTCGCCATGTGGGTTGCTCCACAGCCGGCAGGGATCAAACCGGCACTGCAGAGGCTGCAGACAGCTTCACAGCACTGCGCTCAACCACCTGCGCCACCAGGGGAGGCCCCAGAATATAGTCTTGATCCATTAAGGAAACACTGTAAACTCACTGAATGTTTCTGAGGCATGGTAAGCCAGAGAGAGGTGGCAATCCAGTAGGGCAGAGGCAGGGAGGCCATTTCTCATACAACTGGTAGGGTAGTGGAGGGTGATGTCTCCAAGGTCCATCGATGAGAAGCAGTCTTGAGAAAGCTGAAAGATAAAAGCTTGTAAGAGGCTGAATATTGAGCAGAGAGGGAAACAGAGGGTCAGAGGTGATGCAGGACTTCGTATTGGCATCCCTGGGAGACAGACAGTTGATGAGGAAGGGGGACCCTGTGCTAGAGAGGAGGAAGCCCAGGGAGCCGATAGGAGACGCCGAGGCTGGTGGGCAATCTGGGTTCTTGGGTCTGGTGCTCAGATCCAGTGGGAGAGTGGTTGTGGGCTACCGCCTCAGAATTGAGTGTCACTGTGGAAGGTGGTAGTGGGTGTGAAGCCAGCAGTGGCCAAGCTCACAGAAGGGAGAGAGGTGCAAGTCACAGGTAAGGAAAAGAGGGTGGGGAGTAGAGACTGAGCAGCATGGGAGAGTTGCCCAAGCTCTGTGACTGGTTTCTGGCTTTGTCCCCTTAGTTTTGTCTGGGCCCAAGGGCATCAGTTTCCCACTGAGGGGAGTAAACAGGCCAAGGGCTGTTTCCCTCTTACACTGATGCTATCAATGACTTCAGTCTTGGGAAAGATGAGCATGTGGCATTGGCCACAACCCGGGCATTGAGTGACTGGGGAAGGCTGATCCTGGGATCCTTTTGGCCACAGGTGACAAGTACTGGGTGTTTAAGGAGGTGACAGTGGAGCCTGGGTACCCCCACAGCCTGGGGGAGCTAGGAAGCTGTCTGCCTCGAGAAGGTATTGACACAGCTCTGCGCTGGGAACCTGTGGGTAAGACCTACTTCTTCAAAGGCGAGCGGTACTGGCGCTACAGTGAGGAACGGCGGGCCACGGACCCTGGCTACCCCAAGCCCATCACTGTGTGGAAGGGCATCCCGCAGGCTCCCCAGGGGGCCTTCATCAGCAAGGAAGGATGTACGTAAGGGCATGTTGGTAAGGGGTGGGGGGCTGATTTTATGTGGTTCTCACAGGCATACTCTCAGGGTACCGAGATCTCAGAAGCACCAGAAGGCTGCCTTTTAGCTTCCACTGGCCAAAGTCCTTGAAGTCACCTGTCTCTGAGTCTCCTTAAAGAACAAGACCACATGTATAAAGCACCAGATACACAGGAGAGCCACCAGACAGCAGCTCTGCCCCTGTGACACCTCAAGGTAGCAAAGACAAGAGCCTCCTGTCTACCCATGCTCATAAAGTCATTATCTTACTCGCTACCAAGTCAGTTTCTCATCTCAGTTCACAATGGAGAGATGTTTTCATAAATTGATTTCACAGCATTTCTCAAACAGCAATCCTCAGGTATACTTAGGGATAACTCAAGTTATCAAATCTGAAAAGCAATGATGGGTTGTGGGGGGGACTCAAAGGTGCTTTCCACAGAGTTTAAGGGCAGGAAGATGGAAGGAGGTCTTTTTTTTTTACTTGTGGGATGTTTCCTAAGCTCCATCATGGCTGCCATCCAGAGTTGGAGCTTCTCAAGAGGGGCTGTGTCTTGCCAGGTGCAGAGTGGGTACCCATGAATGTTTGCTGAATACAGCTCCTCTGATCTGACAAAAGCACAGACCCTGGAGGCAGGCTGCTGGCTTCAGGTTCCACTTGCATTGCTGGCTGAGTTTGGGCAAATCACTTGAGTGTCTCAGTTTCCTCATCAGTAAAATGAGCATAATAATGGCACCTACCTTGTAGGGCTTGCTAAGACTTAAATCTCAGCAAGATTTAAGATAAATTATGGAGAGCACTGAAACCAATGCCTAGCGCACAGCCCAAGCCATACACGTTGTAACTACCACCACCACCATCATCGTCATCTTGTGAGTGTTTTAGTTCATTTGGAACAGCAGCAGTCATTCATTCACCCCCACCATAATTACTAAGAGCCAGGTTGTGTGGGAGGGCTGGGAACAGAAGGAGGAATAAAACTTGCATCGCCTCCCTAGCTCCTAGAGGCAGAAAACAAGGTGGCAACAACTGCTATAAGGAAAGAAAGGCCGGGAGAGAGCAACTAGGCACAGGAGCCATCTTGGCAGGTCTATGGGAAGGGCTCTCCAAGGAGACACCTCCGGTTAGGAAAGCTAATGGCCACAGGGGCAGAGCTGCTATTTGGTGGCTCTCCTGTGTGTCTGCTGTTTTATACATGTGTTCTTGCTCTTTAAGGAGCCTCAGAGACAGGTGACTTTAAGGACTTTGGCCAATGAAAGTTCCAGCCAGGGTGAGGAGCCAGCCAATAGAATCTGAGGGAGCTGAGTTGCATCTATGGACTGGCTATACTGCTAAGACTGTTGCTGGAAACCCTGGGGTGGCTGCCTAGCCCCTTCCCCTGCAGGGTCCCAGTCACCCTGCCTGCATCTGTGCCAAGCAAAACAAAAAATCCATGATAACTGCAAAAAGGTCTGCTGTAAACAGGAGAAATCTTGCTCCCTGCTTCCATTTGCTCAGGCAGGAGCTGGACGAAGGCCCTAGAGTGAGAGACAGTGCTATCCAAGCCCAAGTTGGGGGTTGATCTGACCCACACAGGGTGGAGGGAGCTGAGGCCCTGTCTGGGAGTTATGCAAACTGAACTTATCAATTCTACTTAAAGCCTCCCCCAGTGCTTCCCAGCACCTTTAAGATGACTGAGTGGGCCGCTCCAAGTTCCAGATGCCCCTCTTCACACCTGTGCAGGTCATATTCCATGACCCAGCCACCCTACTGACAAGTGTGCCACACCCCCACCCACAAGTGTTTCAACACTATTCCAGGGTGGGAGAGGTGCCCCTTGCCCATGCTGCCACAGCACCCTGGGCCCTCTCACCGGCCTAGAGCAGTACCAGGAAGGGCCTGGGGGTGGTGATGCTGGGCCATTTTTCTACAGATTACACCTACTTCTACAAGGGCCGCGACTACTGGAAATTTGACAACCAGAAACTGAGTGTGGAGCCAGGCTACCCGCGCAACATCCTACGTGACTGGATGGGCTGCAACCAGAAGGAAGTGGAGCGGCGCAAGGAGCGGCGGCTGCCCCAGGATGATGTGGACATCATGGTGACCATCAATGACGTGCCAGGCTCCGTGAATGCTGTGGCTGTGGTCATCCCCTGCATCCTGTCCCTCTGCATCCTGGTGCTGGTCTACACCATCTTCCAGTTCAAGAACAAGGCAGGCCCTCAGCCTGTCACCTACTATAAGCGGCCAGTCCAGGAATGGGTGTGAGCATCTCAGAGCCCTCTCTGTCCACTCAGTCTAGCCAGTCAGACCCTTCCTCACCAGGGTCTAAGGGCAGCTCTGGCCACTGCCTACCAGGCCAGCAGGGCCCTAGGCCAGGGGTCGTGCAGCAGAAGTGGTGGGTGCATTGGCCAAGGCTGAGGGTGGGGCAGGGAGTGATGGCGCTGTGCCCTACGGTGGGTCTCTGGCACTCAGCTGCCAGCCTTCCATTCTGGGTTAACTGTTCCCACCTTATGGGAATAGACCAGGCCCCATCAGGAGGCAAGGACCATACCAGGAGGAAGTCCTGTGGTCACTGCAGCCTGTGGTGCCCATGAAGCATCACAGCTCCCATCCTGGCCAGACCCAGCACCTTTTGTGGGAAGCCAGCACTAGTGCTTAGTCCCATCTGGGAGATGTCACCAGTCCTGGTCCCCCCTTTGCCAACACCTGCTGGTCAGATGTCCCCCCACCCCCACCCCACTATCCTCCAAAGCTACAGGACCCCTGCTGGGCAACAAGCTTGGGTTTCCCCTGCTGGCACACAGCAGATTCCTCAGGAAACCTGCGCCACACATCAAGGTCTCCTCTGAGACCCAGGATTTAGGGTCACATGCTGCAGGCAGGGCTGTGGCCCAGCTGGGTCTGACAAGGACCCAGCTGTCACGTATGAATATTTAAATGTCCTGTCACTACTGTTTAAAGTCCCATTCTGCAAAGGCTGCTTGAGGCTTTAGGTGAATTAGAAGTGACTGTCTTGGTGATGAGGCCAGCTTGGTCGGTCCTCTCCCAGGTGATAAGGACCAAGGTGCTGCTAAGGCTACCCTAGCACCCAGACAACCCAGGAGCTGAGCCCTTTTCATGAGGCGAAAGGCCTGGAACAGGAGCTGACCCCATTTCTGGAAGCCAATCTGAGTTTGTGACTGTCCTCCACTAAGCCCCATTATCCTTGCCCTCTTCCAAATGCCCCAGGCCCCAGCCCTGCTCCAGCCTGTGGGCTCACACCCTACAAGCTCAGCCTGACTAGTATGATGAAGCAGAAGTGGCTCCAGGCCAGCAATCTTATGGCCTTGGGGTAAGGAACCCAGGGCAGCCTTCAGAAGTGCTCAGAGCCTGAAGTTGACTCAATGTCTCAGGCCAGAAGCAGCACTTATACCATGAGCTTGGCCCTTGCCAACCCAGCTCACAAGGCCCATCTTCCGACACTGCTCTTTGGAAAAGAGCATCTCCAAATGGTAGTGGCCCCAAGCCTAGGGGCCTTTCTCACCCTTCTTGGGCCCACCTTTCATTCTGTAGAAAGAATCTCTAGGGCTCGGCTTGCCTCACTCCAGCCCAGTAAAAGCAGCCCTACTTGTCACTGAGGAGCGCTAGGTGAGACCAAAGGGTTCAGCAATCCCTGCTGGCTCTCTGCCGAAGCCAAGAGGTATGGGTCGTCAGGGTGCTGGCAGGGTCTCAGATGCCACCGCTGTCCTCTGAGCCTAGCTGGGTTATGCCCCTACCCCATAGCCTCTAGGCTTGGGGTTGACTTAACCTGTAGTAGACAGGGACATCTGCAGCCCTGGGAGCTATCTCAAGCAAAATCTCTTGTCCCAGAGGTACCTATATGGGCCCACTGTGTTCCCTGTCATTATCCTTCTGTTTTTTCTCATTTTGGCCAAGGGCGGGCTCCCTGGGGCGGGTGGGGAACAACTGCAAAGATATTAGTGATTCATAGGTTTGTACAGTGTTTTATACTTTGCAAAGCACTTTATTAGCTCACATCTGTCCACTCACATCAAACTCGTATAGGCCCCGGGAGGCTAAGGGTAACCCTCATTGTGCCTTCAAATGAAGCACAGAGAGGTTGTTACTTACCCTGGCCATTCAGTGGGCTGGCTGGGCCTGGACCCCTTTAGGGTCCAGGATGAGATCAGAAGTGTCTCTTTTATCCATCTTTTCCTGGCCTCCCTTTCTCCTTTCCCGTCCACTCCTCAGGTTGGTGCTCTCACTTCTTGAAAGCTCTAGGCACCCCCAGCCTCCCTGTTGGTTCCTGGTACTACTGAGGCCAGCTAAGAAAGAGCAGGAGATGGAGGCAGGCAGCCCAGACTGCAGATGTGAGGGATGCAGGACCAGGCCCAGAGAGGGCTCGGCCTGGAGGCTTTCAATCTTGGGTTCTCCTGCCTTGTGGTCATCTGTTTGTCCATCACCCCAGGACACAGCAGACAGACGGAGGGGAAAAGCACTGGGGCCCCAGAGCCTAGCTTCCCCTCAGTCTGGGGAACATCACAGCATTTCAGTGTCAGTCACATTTTAAACTGATCAGCCTTTGTATAATGTTTTTTAAATCATTTCTAAATAAAACAAAAATACAGAGTGTGTCATTTTCCTGGGATGTGGGAACAAAGATTCTTAGCGTGGCCTTAAGCTCCTAGGAGAAGGGGAAGAGGGTGCTTTGGGGTGTCTGGGTCCTGCCCCAATGCATCTCATCTCCAGGTCCAGGATGCAAATGCTTCCCTCCCCTCCAAAAGGCCTGCCCTGGAAAACCATGAATATAGCCTGATAATACCTCACTGGGGTGCAGGGATGGGGTGGGGGCAATGTCCCCAGGAGGAGCTGGGGGGGAGCGGGGAGGCGGTCAATGCAGCAAGGTCTCCTCTGAAGTCAAGGAATAGGGCGCCATGACCAAGGACATGACAAGCACGAGACAGCAATAAGAGACAAACGAGGGCCTCCCCGGTGGCGCAGCGGTTGAGCGCTGGGTTGCGAAGCTGCCCGCGGCCTCTGCAGCGCCGGTTCAATCCCCGGCTGCTCCCCGGCCACCGGAGGAGGGTCCCACATGGCGCGCAGACCTCTCCTGCCGCCCGCTGCTCCCCTCAGCGGTGTGCTTCGGTCCTTCTGCCTGCTCTGCTCCCCGCTCTGGCTCTGGTGAATTCTCTCACCCTCCCACGCTTCTGACTGTACCCAGTGCATGTATAAACAAAACAAACAAACAAATAATAAATAAATAAAACATGCCTCTATAAAAAAAAAAAAAATATAAAAAAAAAAAAAAAGAGACAAACGAGAGGTCAGGTCAGCAGCCTTGATCGAGTCTTACCAGGGGTCCTGGCCTGGTTCAGGATGTCATTATCAGGCAGCTGGGAAAGCTGTGGGGTGGGGGTGAGGGTGAGCGCGCAGGCCTGAGGTGGTTTGGGCGCAGACTGGGACGCAACCAAGTTCGGAATGCTGGGAGGGACCAGAGGCAAGTCGGCCCCCGTGGTGAAGCGATGGCCCTGCAGGGCCCCTGCAGTGCCCCCACGACCTCTACAACGCCCAGGCAGGTCCTCTAGCGGCCCGGGGGGCGGGGCGGGCAGGGGGTGTGAGACTCCGGGTCACGGGGAGACAGGAGCCGAGCGGGCCAGGCGGACCTAGACAGGAGGCGGCGGCGGGCGCGGCGAGTCAGTACCAGGAGGTGCAGGCGATGAGGAAACGCACGTCGTCCAGCGGCCCCCAGGGGCCGGGCTCGGGCCCGGGTCTTTCGCGGCCCTCAGGCGCCGCCGGCTCGGGCTGGGGCTGCGGCAGCGCCGGCTCCGGGGCGCCCCGGCCGCCGCTCAGCAGTGCGCCCATGGTCTGCAGGAGAGACCCGTCAGGTTGGGGCCCGCCCGCGCGCGCCCGCCAGCCTCCCGCCAGCCGCCCCCGCCGGCCGCCCCCGCCGGCCCTCACCTGCAGGCCCTCGCCACCCGTCTCCGCGGTCCCGGCCGGGAGTCCGTCCGCGCGCAGCACGCGAACCCTGGGCGGGGCCGGCGCCGTGACGTCATGGCACGCCGCCCGGAGCTCCGCGCTCCAGGGGCGGGGCCCGACCACCCGGCCCCACCCACCAACCGGGAAAGTTTCCCCCAAACCCCGGAGCCCCGCCCCGCACAGTAAGCGAGCCCCTCCAGCACCCCTGCCCACCCCCAAGCTACTAAGGAGAAGGGCCGCCCAATTTGGTCAGAGGCTGCTCAGGTCACCTGACAAGTGGGCCAGAAAACTCCATCGGGGCCTCCCTGGTGGCGCAAGGGTCTAAGACGCAACCTACGAGGCAATCAGCAGCCTCTGCAGCACAAGATCCATCCCAGCTGGCGCAGCAGCCCTCTCCGGTCTCTCGCCCACTGCTCCCCTCAGCAGTGTATTTCAGTCATTCTGCCTGTTCTGTCCCCCACTTTGTCTCTGGTGGATCCTCCCACACCTCTGGCCTGTACCCTGGTTCTTGTATGCGTATATAAATATTTAAAAAAAAAAAAACAAAACATTCCATCCACCTTGGGTCAGAGAGGACAAGGCTGCCCTGTAGTCGGGTGCCCCAGTAACCTTACAAGGCCCTCACATGTGCCCTGGGGATCGCTGAGGCAGATTCCCATCCTCTGAAGCCCAGAAGTCTTGAGGCTGAAGTCAGGTGGAAAGAAAAATTAAACTACAGAGTGCTTCCTCATCTTGCCCAGGGATGAAGCCTCCTGATGAGGGGAGAGTGGGATTGTGGAATTGAGGTGTAAGTGTGGGTCCTATCCATCCTTCCCCTCGAACAATCGTGGAAGATGGGGGGCGGAGGGGGAGCGGCTGAAGCCCCAAATAACACATTCAGAATGGCCAGAGGCAGATGCCCTTTAATGGGGTGGCACAAGACAGCAGAGTTCTCAGCCAGGAGCCATAGGACCTGACAAGGCAGCGTATGTGTCAGATTTTTGCAGCAACTAGATCCAGGAGATGGGTGCAGGTAAAGGGTTGGGAATCTAGTCACTGAGTCCAAGTGAGCTCTCTGCCATCTCCCAGCCAGCATCCAGTACAAACCGCGTAGAGCAAGAGCCAAAGTCCAGAGGCAGAAGCCTATGAACAGCGACGAAGATGACTCAGGTGAGGCTGAAGAGAGAAAAGAGCACTGTCAGTAGGTGGGTCACACAGCACACCTCAGCCTCCATTCTCAAGGAGCTTGCCTCCACCCTGCCTCTGGACCTTTGTTCCAGGTTCAGCCATAAAAAGCCACACCCAGCCCCTTCTCTGAGTCACTGCTGCCGTGAGCCACAATCTAATCTAAAACTCTCAGTGCCTAAAAACTAACTCCTTCTCCACCCAGGTGGGAAAGTAATGAACCCATAATTCATTCAAATTGTCATTGATCATAAACCAGAGCCTCCTTGGTCAAGTCCAAATGACGAGAGAAAGGAACAAGGGGGCTCAGCGAGGGGAAAAATACGTGTCCAAACCACAAATCCCCCAGTGGCACTTTCCCTTTCAGAATCTTTCAAATGCTCTTTAGTGCAGGTAGTAGAGTTTTTCCACTGTGGCCCCCAAACTGTCCCATCAGAATCACCCAAGAGAAACTTATTTAAAAACCACACGTGGCTGGATCCTATTCCAAATGTAGGGAATCACTACCTGAGGGGTGACACTGGGTTTATGTTAACAGCCTCCCAATATAAGCGAAAGGTCAAAAGCACAGGCCAAAGTCCAAACTTGAAATAGACTGAGTCTACAACAAACTGGAACACACCCTCTTTGTATCCTTCACCCATCCTCATCTCTGTGTGTCACAAGAGCGTGCCCACTCCATCTTTGCATATTCAAATACCTACTAATTCCCAGAAGCCCAGACTAAGTGATCAGTCCTCTAGGAAACCTTCCTTGATCCCACAGGAAGTCCCACAGGAGTTCCCCAAGCTACATATAGTCCCTTTGCTCTCTCTTTTGAAGGTAGCTAAGAGTTCTGTGTGGTCACATTTTCTCCACCCTGCTACAACTGTGAGTCCTGCAGAGGCAGGACAAAGGAAGGAATAAGTTGCCTGACAATCCCACAAAAGCCTTGTCCATAAGGATCAATAATGAACATGAAGCAAATGAATGAAGGGATATTTTGCTGAAGTAGGAGTCTGTTACTTGGATGTGTCTACTTTGGGGTTTTTATCTTCAAACAAAAGATAAAGACTCCTGTGCTAATTGGGTAAGGCATGCCTTAAGAAGGGTCCTCAGTGGAGGAGGGGTGAATGTCCAGCACCCAAAGGAAGAGATCCTCAAATCTAACATTGAGGATCTCCAGAGTTAGGGTCTAATAACCCACTTTTTCTTTAATCCACAAAAAACTCAGATGACTGTGACTTTAATGCAACCCCCACTCCATCCCCCACCGAGTCCCATGATCATGTAAGGCTGTTCCTGAGAACAGCCTCCCCACATTCCCTCAGTAAACAGTTCTTTTCTGGCTCTGGGCTGCTGGCTGGAAAGAGTGATACATAGCAGGTACAAACTGCAAAACAATGTGGTCTGTGATGAAATAAGACAGACCAGAGGGAAGGTCTGCTCAGAGAGGATACGGGGCTCTATCTTCAAAGATGAGGATGAGCAGACAGATGCTCAGGTAAAAATGCTTGCTGTGACTCCTTAGTAGTATGTGAATATGCCCTCACAGGCAGGGAGAGCCTACTAGTTTGAATATAGTGTGGTCCCATTCCAAGAGTGGCATCTCCTTCCCCTCCCATTCAAATGGCAGAAAAGAGAAGCGATACCTGTCAATGAGGGAATCCCGCATGCTGGTAGCAATGGTACTAGGCTGGGCTTCATTCAGCTTGAAGACACTCTCTACTACTGACAGCTCTGTGCTGGTTGTGTCCAGGCCACAGAAGGCACACCAGTCGTTCACCACCATCCCAGCAGCAATCACTTCGCTGCCTCGGTTCACAGTGCCTGCCTGCCAAAGAATGGATGGGCTCAGTATGGGTTGTAGTACTAAACCAAAGTCTCTCTCCATTCGGAGGAGGACCCTCCCCCAAATTCTGCTTCCAGACCTCTAATCCCAAGCCCAAAACCTAGCAAGTATTAACGCAGATTCCTGAACACTGGCCAAAGGGGTCTTCTTCAGCAGGAGACAGAAATCCAAGGACAGAAATGCTTACCACAAGGGGAACCTGGAGAAGAGAGGACAGCTCATCCTGGTCTTCAATTGAAGTCTTGGGATGTACCAGCCCTCCCTGATTGCTGAAGACACAGTAGCTTCCTACTAGCACCTGATCAGCCACTGTCTGTCTGAAGACTTCCACCTTGAGCACATCAGCCAGGATTTCTTCTGTCTCCTGTCAGGTAGAGGTATCATGCTTAAGGCCTACAACTTGTAGGTCAAAGAACCAGGGGCCCTCCATACCTGGAACCACAGAGGGCTTGGCTTCCCGACTCCCTTATCCCTCAGCTATGTAGTTGAATAGGAAAGCCTTACTCAGAAAAAAAAGAGAGCAAAACCAGCTATGGAGGCCCTAAAATCCATGCACGCTCTGAATAAATAGGGACTAGTTTCCATCTCAGCCTCTTCCCACTAACACACATTTAAGAATTCAATTATCAGTCATCTCTCCTGGACCTGGCTGCAAGACTAGATGAGTGAATCTCCCCAATTCCAAGGGATTAACCCTCCCCACCCCAGCTTCTTTCTAACAATGACCACACCATGGGAGGCCCCAATTATCAATACTCAAATGAGTACCTGAAAAGGGAAACCATAAGACATAAACCCGTAAGTGCCGCCTGATAGGCAAAGTGGCTAACCACTGACTAGGCTGGTCCTCACCCTGTCTAAGTCTGGGTGGATCAAGGCCACATAGTCATTGCAGGTAGTGACATTTCCCAGGGCCGAAAGTCGCTCTTCTACCCGCCGGATCTGAACTGAATCTGGGAGGCAGTTGCGAATGTGTTGCAGCTCCTGGTCAGTGGTATTGTTGGGCACAAGGAGACCATGTCTGTTCCCTGGAGAGAGACAAATTGTCAGAGGGATGGGGGGCAACGATGGACCATGAATACAAAGATGTTTGCCGAGTCCTAGAGGTAAGGATACAGTCCAGTCCAATTAGCTTCCCTGAGAAAGCTGACTTCACATCCTAGGGGATCCATACACTCAGGAGGGAATCCCACTGGGCAAGTCCAGAGGTGGCACAGGAGTCTGTCCCAACATACCTTGCCCACTTTGCCATCATCAACTAAGGGGGAGCAAAACTAGCAGAAATGGTTCTTGTCATTAGTTGTGTATTTTCCTACTTAAAAACTGAGCTAACACAACACATCTACAAGAATAGCTAAAATTTTTAAAAGAACATCAATTTCAAATGTTGATAGGGGCCTCCCTGGTGGCACAGGGGTTAAAGACAGTGCTATCAAGCTATCGCCAGCCACTGCAGCGCGAGTTCAATCACCGGCTAGCCAGGGAGCTAACCTACACAGCGCGGCAGACCTCTCCTGCCTTGCCTGCTGCTCCCCTCAGCAGTGTATGTCAGTAGATCTGCCTGTTCTGCTCCCCACTCTCTCAGATGAATCCTCTCACCCACCCCCTCGTACCTCTGGCTTACACCCCAGTTCTTGTATTCATAAATAAATAAATCTTTAAAAAAAAAATTAAAGGTTGATAAAGCTACGTAGCAACTGAAATTCTCATATACTCTGACAGGAATGTAAGTTGGTCAAACACTTCAAATAATAATCTGGGATCATCTATCACATTGGATATTCACATACACCATAACCAATCCATTACTCCCCTAGCTATTATATATTTAAGGGAAATATGTACATGTGTTCACTAAAAAACACAGCACCAAACAGACCAAACCAAAACCACCCATTGTCCACTGTCAATAGAACAGATGACTAATACACCGTAGTTTACTTACATGAAATATATAATAGCAAGAATAAACAAACTGGGCCTCCCTGGTGCCGCAGCGGTCGAGCGCTGGGTTGCGAAGCTGCCCGCAGCCTCTACAGCCCCGGTTCGATCCCCGGCTGTTCCCCGGCCACCAGAGGAGGGTCCCGCATGGTGCACAGACCTCTCCTGCCGCCTGCTGCTCCCCTCAGCAGTGTACTTTGGTCCTCTGCCTGCTCTGGTCCCCGCTCTGGCTCTGGTGAATTCTCTCACCCTCCTGCGCTTCTGACTGTACCCAGTGCTTGTATAAATAAATAAATAAATATTTTTTTTTAAAAAAAAAAAGAATAAACAAACTATAATTATGTTCTCATAATAATGGCTAACTCTGAATTACTCCCATCATTTAAAAGGGGAAAAAGAAAAAAAAAAAAAAAAAGCTACCCAGAACTAGGCTACATTCTCCCTTATGATGTCAGAATTTGCTTCCATTCCTAAGGTCATGGTTAGGAATTAGAGTGATTCACCTGAAAAGAAAATACTCCACAGACCAATGTTATACCAGTGAATGGAAGTGATTCCCCATTCTGTAATTAATGTTTTGAAGTGTTCAAGAACATACAATCAAGATGCTTCTAAAAATGCTAAAAAAAATATCAAAAATACTCAAAAAGGCCAAGATCACCAGGTTTAAGATTTAAAAAAAAACAAAAAAACCCACTCCTACATGACCCAAATGAATTGAACAAAAAAGGGATGGCAGTAAAGGGAGAGAGTCCCAGCTCAAAGAAAAGGCCAATGGCTACAGCCAACAGTACTGAAAATTAAGGATTAGGAGAGAGATGCCACTCAGAGATGTGGTATAAGGAATTTAAGAAGATTTAAATGAATTAATTTATCGGGATGAACAGAACCTTGCATTTTTAAAAGGCAGGAATGGATGCTCAGAAACAGGAAAAAACTTGCCCAGAGTCTGTGGCAGAGGAGAGAAAACAGGTTAATCCTCCCTCACACTGGGTGTGGAATCTGGGTAATCATTTAGGCACTCCCAGTTTCTGCTTTCCCACCGAATTAGGCCAGTAATTCCGACCTCCCTGGGTTTTCGTGAGGAAGGAATGAGAACAAGCCTAAAAGTGAAAGCACTTAATATCATTTGTTATTACTACGATCCAAAACACCTCGCCAGAGACCGTCCTTGATCTGCTGACACTTAAGAAGACAAGGTCCAGGCCAGCCCTCGGAGATCCTGTAGTCACCGCAGATAATGGGTGAAAGCCTAGAAACGCCGGGTTCTTCCGGCCAGGTCCAGGGGTATGAGTGAGACGGGACAGTCCAACTCCAGTCCCTCCCTCCGCGTCCCCCGTCAGCCTTACCCACACACATGCGCCCGATGATGCGGCAGCCGGCGATGGATGCGTGCACCACGGGGATGGTGTCGGCGAGCTCACCCTCGAACACACTGCAGGGACATGAGCTCTGTGGTCACCGGGCGGAGGGGCCGGCGCCCTCGCTCTGCCCGAGTCCCCGACCCCAGCACCTTCCCGGCCCCCGCCCCCCAAACTGTCCGCGGCGCCGGGGCTCCCGCCGCACCTGTAAAAGTTCTCCGACCCTCCGATGGCCACCAGGCAGTAGGTGTTGGTGAGTTTGGCAAAGCAGCCGATCTCACAGTTGTTCTCGAACGACGCTCGGACCGCCATGAGGCCTGGGGGATGCGGGACCCGGAGCTCAGGGCCGGCGAGCCTCTCAGCCCCTCAGGCCCCGCCGCCACCCCGCCCCTCCTGGCCCCTCAGACCTCGCGTCCCGCCCACTGGGCAGCTCCGGACTCCCCCGCCCCGAACCCTCCGGCCCCCACCCGTCACGGCCCGGGCGCCCGGAGCCGACCCCCGGCCTCCCCCTCCCCATAGGCTCACCAGTAACCGCAGCCTCCACGCGCGACAACAGCTGGACTGACCCCCCCACCCCTGACACACACACACACACACACACACACAAGATCACAGAGCAACCGCAACCTCCACACGCGGCGGCAACTGCACCTTCCCCGCCCCGCACACTTCCGCTTCCGCCTCCGCCCCGGGAGACTTCCGGGAGGGCCCGGCGACCCGGCCCGCCGGCGGCCACGCCCCCTCCGCCTGGGGAGGGCTCCGGCGTCGCGGGGGGCCGTCTCCTCCCGGCGGGCCCGCCCGGCCCCGCCCCAGCGCGCTCGGGCGTGCTCTGTCCGTCCGTCCGTCCGTCCATCCAGGAGTTGTTCAGTTGAAATCAACTGACGCCTAGATGTGAGCTATGAGAAAGGCGCCACTGAGAGGAGGTACTGACCGAAGTGAAGCCTGAGGCGGAAGCGCAGATGTGGGGAAGGTGACCTGCCGCTGAGAGGTGCAAGCAGGACCCCGGGGGAGAGTGAAGGACGGAGGAATGAGAGTTGGGGCTGAAACGGGGTGGGTGTGCGCTGGTGGGAGGTGAGGGCACCTGTGGAGAATGGGCCCAGAAACACAAGGGTGTTCACACAGGGGCTGAAGGAGGCACCAGAGAAGCCGAGGACACCTGACCGAAGAAGGGATTGGAGAGAGGGGAGGATGGATGAAGCAGGGTCTGAGGTGGAGGTTGGAATGTGAGGGTCCAGAGATGGCACGGGTCTGGGGGCTCACAGGCGCCCACTTGTGCCTCTTACATGTGCCTGGCCATTCACACAGCAGCAGTAACCTCCTGTCCCAGGTGAGGTGGTGATGGTCAAGGGACCAGCCCTTGTGGACGGGATGGCCCACATTTTGTAGAATCCACAGAAGCCCCAGGGTCTTTCAGAATGTGACAGTAAGGACAGAGGGGACTTAAAAGTCTGTTGTCTCCTCCCCCCTCTCGCCCCCCCCGCCCCCCAGTCTTCCACTCTTCTCCTGGGAGCCCTCCATAATTAATGTGAAGGGCACCGTCCTCTACCCCCAACCTTGCCTTCTTAAGAATACACCAGGCTGGGCCTCCCCGGTGGCGCAGCGGTTGAGCGCTGGGTTGTGAGGCTGCCCGCAGCCTCTGCAGCGCCGGTTCGATCCACGGCTGATCCCCGGCTGCTCCCCGGCCCCCGGAGGAGGGTCCCGCATGGCGCGCAGACCTCTCCTGCCTTCTGCCTGCTCTGCTCCCCGCTCTGGCTCTGGTGAATCCTCTCACCCTCCCGCGCTTCTGACTGCCCAGTGCTTGTATAAATAAAATAAATCTTTAAAAAAAAAAAGAATACACCAGGCTGCTGCTGGGTCATAGCATGTCTGCTTTATTGATTTGTATCAGGTATACTGTCCCAGGAAGGTGGTGAACTCAGGAAAAGGTCCCACAGCCTGTCAGTCTGGTGATTTTAGGGACACTCAGCAAAGTGTGTGTGTGTGTGTGTGTGTGTGTGTGTGTTTTCACGCTCCTGGCTATCCACACCCTCTGGACCAGGTATCCTCCCTCAGACTTTCCCTGGTTCCTTCTACCAGGAATTCCTCTAACTCCTCCATCTGTCCAAATCCTTCCCATCCTTCAAGATCTGACTCAAATGCTGCCTCCTCTAAGAAACTTTCCTCACCACCCCACTGCCCCAAGACTCCCTGCCTTTGTTCTCTTACCACCCTCCATCCCTGGTTACCCTTTATCAGACACAGCTCTATCCTGCTCCCCAGTGGTTTATGCATTGAATCTTTGTCTCCCTGGCACTGAATATGAGTCATTACTCAGCCCTTTAGCATGCCCAGCACCAGGCTGGGTTCACATCATAGGTTCAAGATACTGGTTGGCGTGTCTGTGCCTGTGTGTATGTGGTTGTGTGCCTACTCATGGTCTGGATCCTGCGGGGTCTGCAGTGTACACTGAATGCACAGATCTTATGTAGCCGTTCATTTTTCAAATGACATTTACTGAGTACCTATAATTAGAATCAAGTGTTTTGGTTTATCACATGGACCTATGTGTACCCATGGTGTGTGTGTATGGGTGTGCAGTTGGCAGGTGTGAATCCTGTGTGTTGTGGATACATATGTTCAGGCATTTGGGGCATCTCTGTGCCGTGTGTATTTTGTGCACTTGGAGACACATAGATTCTGGCTGGATAGTGTGTGTTATATCTGCAAAAATACAGTCTTAAGAGTCAGAGAGATATAGGTTTGAGCCTCTACTCTGCCATTTATTTGGATCTGATTCCAAGCAAGTCCTCCAAACTCTTACATGTGCTTGACCACTCACTTAACTTCCACATCTATAGGAGAGGGAAGATAATACCTAGGATATACTCACTGAGGTCTTTCCTGTAGGATGCTGTGAGGCTGAGAGATGAGAAGTAGCCAGTGTGAAGTCCCCAGCAGAGTGCCAAATGGCAAGTGCCCAGTAACTATGGGTTTCATTTCCCTGTGTGGGTATGCGTGCATGTATGTGTGTGCATGTGTGTGGGTATGAACAAGAATCCTGAGCCTAGGAGTGTCTTATCTGGCTTCTAAACACTCTCTCATTCTTATGTAGCCCTCTGCCAGAGCTTCCACCCCCACAGTCTAGGACCTGAGCAAGTCTAGAGTCTCTGGATGCAGGAGGAACTTATCCCTGTGAGAACAGGACTAGGACTCAAAGCGGCTTCGGAGTAGCTTGAACTTCGACTTGTTGTACTTAGTGATGAGGTCCAGTTTGCTGTGGCCCAGGGTCAGCCGTTTCTCATCTCCAAGCAGGCCATTGCTACTGCCATTGCGATGGCTGCCTGTGGGCCCTGTAGGGAGCCCAGGCTCAGATCCCTGCCTGGTGCCCTGCAACTGATGATATTTGGTGATGAGGTCCAGCTTGCTGTGGCCCAGGGTCAGCCACTTCTCATCCCCAGAGCTCACTGTAGCCTTTTGAGCAGGGCTTAGTCTGGGGAAACCATTGGGCCCTGGCCCCTCACCACGGAATGGGCCAAACTTTGTGATGAGGTCCAGCTGGCTGTGGCCCAGGGTTTGTCGTCGCTCATCTGAGCCCTGCTTGCCAGGTCTGGCTGACGAGTTGGCTTCGGGGGACACTCTGGAGCCCCCAGCCTTGGGGTACTGTACCAGGAGGTCCAATTGGCCATGGCTGTGGTTTGGGGACAGCCTTTTGTCCTCTGGAGTCTGATCACCAGGTCTGGAGGAACCAGACTCAGGGACATCCCCGGTATTCTGGGCCTGGGGCAGGAGATCCAGCTGGCTGTATCTCTGACTTGGGGACAACCTCCTGTCCTCTAGGGCCTGCTCGCCAGGCCGAAGGGAGCCCAAGTTGAGGTTAACTCCAGAACCAGGGCCTCCTGTTTCCCGGGCTCTGGGAAAGGGGACGAGGAGATCCAGCTGGCCATGGCTCTGACTCAGAGACACTTTCTTCTCCTCCACCATCTCCAGGGCTGTGCCAGGTATCCAGCGGCCTCGTGAGGGGCTAGGCTCCTGGCTTCCCGAGAGCCCATTCTCTGGAAGCCGGGACAAGGCTGGGACACCCCGGGGGAAGGGGAGAAGGGGACGAGAACGAGAGAACAGAGGTGACCCCACTGCCAGGGTCAAGGGGCTGGCATTATTCTGGTTGAGGGCAGGGGAGGACTGGGACCATGGGGATGCCCCCAGCTTGCCCAGGTTGGCCCTATAGGGCCCTGCTGGAGAGCCATGGTTAGGGTCTGACAGCTGGCGTTGCAGAGAAGGCTGGCCATTGGCTTCACGGCGGACAGGCCCCTGGGATGAGGACCCTATACCCGTGTCACTACAGCCACCGCCTCCTGGCAGAGCGAGGTAGGAGGAACGGCCAGTGAGAGGTGAGCACTTGATGCTGCTGAGGCTGGTGCTGGAGGGCGATGAGGATGTGGGGCTTGGGATTCTGGGCCCAAAGGCTAAGGCCACTGGGGGAGGGCATGGTGCCCGGGGAGACAGGGAGTCTTCACCGCCACAGAAGCCCTCCACAGGCCGTGACTCAGCATAGAGACAGCGGAACTCCCGGTCAAAGTCTTCCACGATGCGGCCCCTCAGCTGCAGCACCATGCTAGTGTGGGCCTGGCTACAAAGCCAGGTGAAGCTAGAGGCAAAGGGATGGAGTCATCAGGCAAAGTGCAGGAACCTGGGGCTAGGCAGGAATCACAACTGGGAGACAGACCAAAAAACCAGATCCACTCCCCCACCACCAGGATTTAAAAGAGTGGGCAGAGCTCTGACGCTAGAGCCTGCAAGTCCCAGATCTGCTTAATAGACTTGGGCATGTTGTTTCCCATCTCAAGGCCTCAACTTCCCCATCTGTAAAATGGACCAAGGAAAAGATTCCCTAAAGTCCCTCCAATTCTGAGGTTCACTAGTTATTTTCTATGTCATGGGCGTTCAGGTAATCCTTTTACAGTGTGAGCTCCTCCAGGGCCTGGCCTGGGGTACTCTCCCTCCCCACAGAGTCCTTGGGGTCCAGTGCAATGCCTCATACGTGGCAGCTGCCCAGTGTGTGATGGAAGGGATGGGTGAATAAAGAAAAGTTCAAGGCTACCAAGTCCCAGGCCCTCTCCCTCCACTTCACTGGCTTACCTGTAGCTTCCCGCCACCACCTGCTCACAGTCGATGATGACGAACTTCTCCAGGGCCTGCCCTGTGAAGCGGCGGCCTGCCTTGCTACAGTACGTGTCCCCACACGTACTCCGCACTCGCATGTTCTGGACCAAGGAGGGAGGGAGGTTGAGGGATGACCCTGAGAGAATGGAGCTCAAGCCATGTCTAAATCCCATGGTGGGGCCTCCTTGGTGGCGCAGGGGTTAAAAACAGTGCTATCAAGCTATTGCCAGCCACTGCAACACGAGTTCAATAACCCCTGGCCGGCCAGGGAGCTACCCACATGGCGCAGCAGCCCTCTCCTGTCTCGCCCACTGTTCCCTTCAGCAGTGTGTTTCAGTAGATCTGCCTGTTCTGTTCCCCACTCTCTCTGGTGAATCCTATTACCTCCCGCAACTCTGGTCTGCACCCCAGTCTTGTATGCATTAATAAATCTTTTAAAAAATAAATTAAAAAAATAGAAATAAATTCCATGGTGTCTCTAAACCCAAAACAGCTAAGAGAACCTGATGCCCCACTCCCACTGACCCCAGTGCCTACTGACCACCCAACTGACTCTTCTATCCTCTCTGACTCCACTCTCCCCAGTTACTGTCCCTTGCCCCTGGCTGACCGGCAAGTGTCCCCCATTGAGGTCCATCTTGTAGCACATCTCAAGGAAGTGCCTCAGGCTCTCCTGGGCCAGGAGCACGTAGACGGGGACACCACGCCGGCTCGAAGCCTCCATGAGGTCACACAGAAGATCCATGTCAGTGAACACATCCATCACCACAGCCACCACCTGCAGGGAGAAGCAGGAAGCTCAGCCCTGGGGAAGGGAGGGTGAGGGAGCAAGGCTTGAAAATGAAAATGAGGAGACTAGAGCCTGTGAGAACATCCAGCCTAGACATCTTAACTTAGCTCCCTGTGTGGAAACAGGGAGGTTCTGTTGCCTTAGACCCACAGAAGTTGTACAAAAGTTTGTGTGTGCGTTTTTCTGAGGGCAGTGTTTATCTGTGAACAAATTCTCAAAGATGTCTGTGGATCAGCTGCACTAGCTTAAAGCTCCACTCAACATACGGGGAAACTGAGGCCCACAGGGGAAAGAAGTCAGAGGCAGAACACAGACACCAATTCCCAGTCTAGGTCTCACACTCTCCCCTCTAGCGCTATCCTATTTCTTGCCTACAGACTGTGAGTCTCAGTCTCCATTCTTAAGAGTCAGAACTACCCATCAGTAGCTGCAGTATTTAGTGCCCTTTGTCAGACCTGCCTGTGAAGGTGCAGAAGCAGGTGCAACTCTGCCATCTTCCTCACTTGCACCTATGTCAAATACAACCAAGTTTTCTGCTAAATTGAGGGGCTGAGGCTTGTGCTCCACCCCTCATATAATGGGCTGCCCCAGAGAACCCCTGAACCCACCCTTCTGACACCACCAAGTTCCCAAAAGTCCCTTCCCATTGCATGTATCTGCTGTGAGAACCTCCTCTGTTCAGAAGAGAGAAGCAGAGCAAATCCCTCTAGCTCTGGAGCCAGATCGAACTGGACTGAACCTGCACAGCTTCTTCCTAGTGATATGCCTTGAGCAAGTTGCTTCAGCTCTGAGAATCTCAATTTCCTCATCTGTTAAATGGAGATAATGATAGCTACATCTCAGAGTTGTGGGGAATTAAATGTGAAAATATTCAACACACAACAGAAGCTTCAATAAATGTTCTTTTCCTGCTGCCTCTTTAACAAAGGAGGACATTGGGTTGCAGAGAAAGGAAGCACCTCCCAAGGTAACTCTGAGAGTGGGTGACAACCTATAATGATGGAAGCCTGGCTCCTGGCCCAGAAATGAGAGGTCTAGATAGGGGGTGAGGTGGCAAGGCAGGCACCTAGACCACCACTAGGGATGGTGGGGGGAATGACAACATGTAGGAAAGATGAAAGAGGCAGGGGTGATGATGTCAGCCACAGGAGCCACCTCACTAATAACCCCATTCCCAGTGCCAATCAGTCCTGGCCCTCCCCTGCCTGGGGCACAGGCAGGCTTGGCAGGGAAGCTCTGGAGGTACCAGTGGGATCCCAGCATCCTGGCTCCTGATCTCTGCAGCAGGATCCCTTCGGGTTGCTCCCCCAGACAGGGCACTGAGTCCAACCCTACCTCAAATCCCGCCTGGGGTCATCTGATTCACTCTCCTGCCTCCTGACTCAGAGGTCAGGGATCCAGGAGTGAAGCTGTGCTAGTCTGTGGCTAGAATCTTCCCCTGCACTGACCACCCCTACCTGCTCTGCTTCTTTCTCCTGAGCCCTCGCTCCCCAGCCCCGCTCCTAGAGCCTCTGCTCTTCTTTTAGAGGAGAGCTTCAAGGCGAGCCCTCAAAACTATGTTGAAGCCCATGCCCTCTCCCCTGCTTCAGGCCTAGCCTGAGATGCAGGAGGTAATGCGTGGGGTGCAGCTGGGGACATGGGCCAAGAGGCAGGGCCTTGCCTGGGGCTCAGGGCCTGAGTCAAAGACCCCTTTTTCTCCCCCTGAGCCCTGAGCTTTAGTCACTGACTGGACCTCCCTGAACATGTCCCAGCCCCTCCCTGGCCTCAGTTTCCTCCTCTGTGAGTTGAGGGATGATTCAGATGTTCCCCAAGTTTAGGGTTTTAGTTTGGGGTCATGAACCTTTTTGAGAATCTGATGAATGCTATGGACTGGCTTCCATGAAACAGCCAGAGAGGTTCCCTCGCTGCAGTATGCATGACTTTGCATGCACTTCCAGGGCATTTGTGGATCCCTGAGGCCCATCTGGTTTTGACTGATTGGCGATGTCTCTGAGAGCCAAAGGGTTACCAAAGTAAATAAAACACGCCCACCTTCTGGGAGCTTGTGATCTGAGAGACACCAGAGGTTCTAGTCCCAATACTGACCCTAAACTACTGACCTTGGGCTGGTCCCTTTCCCATCTCAGACCTCCTTTTCCGTGTCTGTGAAATGAATGTCTGAAGAGATGAGCCCTTACCGTGCGTGCCTGGCTGAAGAGGAAACGCAGAAGGTCTTTGATGTTCTTGGCTTTGTCCCGCTGAAAGTGGACCACAGCCTGGGTGGGGCTGAAGCCTGTGGCCTGGGGAACCTCCGGCCAGCCCAAGTCCAGGTCCGGGGGGTCCACGTCCGAGGCCATGGGGAAGTAAGTCCCTGAGGTGACTTCAGAGAGCAGGCTGAGATGATCTGGTCCTGAAGTTTCTGGCCCCTGGCCCTCACCCAACTCAGGGCCTCCACGTACATGGCTGGTCATATAGTCCATGTCCAAGGCACTCAGGAAGGGCAGCTCCCGCTCCTCAGAGATGACCCGCAGGTAAGCAGCCTCACCCCGCTCCAGGAGTGCATCGGCTGCCAGTCTAGCCGCCTCGCTGTGCTGCAGCACCAGTGGTGAACTCTCCCGCCACCACGGCCGCTTCAGCTCCTCCACCCGGCCCCGCAGGGGCCCTGCCATTCCCTGGGCTCCCAGGCCCCCAGGACCAAGGCCTGCAAACATGCCTTCTCACCTAGCTGCCCTCACCCACCAGCGGGCTCCATGCCTGCATCCCAGGTTGGCTGCTGCAGGAAAAAGATTTAGCAGAACTGCCTCCTGCTAACCTCCCTAGTGTGTGGCAGGGCCCCAATCCGTTGCCACCCTAATTCAGAGTGACGCTCCGCCTCATTGCCCCTGGCCTCAGGAACCTGTCGGGTCAGCCTCACCTGTCTGCCTGCTGTTGAGACTCGCCCGCTCAGGAAGCAGCAGAGTTAGGTCCTCAGAACACACTCCTACCTCCCTCCTCTCACTGGGCTTCCCCACCAGGCGCCTAAGCAAGTTCCCTCCTGACTTCTCAGAGTCCCCATGGAGGTTGAATAATGGGCCTGCCCAGGAACACACAATTGTGCATGTGCACGCACACATGCATGCATGCCTGCACACACCAGGGTGGATGAATGACTCGACATAGAAACGTCAACACCAAGTAGACGGGCTGATTTAGTTGACAGACAAGCACAGATTACAGGCTGATACTCACAGACCACACATTTTAATCAAACTCACATAAACTGACATAAACAGAGACTGACCACAAGCCCAAACATACCATGATGGATACTGCAAGCCTTGCACACTGGCCCTAAATAAGAGGTGAACGGAGCATGAGACAAGATTGCCAAGGATAGCAATATCTCTCTGACCCCCATCCAGACCTCTCTCTGCTCCCAAAATGACGCTGCCACTCTCCACCTCCAGAACTGTGGCACTCACACTGCCCACCACACCCCACCCCAGCTCATAGCCCATCCTTCGAGGGTCTGGACCAATGGCTCTCACCTTAGCCCCCCAGAATAACTGGGAAGTGTTAAAATGCACATGCCCAGGCTCTGCCCACCAGAGATTCTGATCGAGGAGGCCTGGCTAGGTTTCTGGAGCCCACCTTCTTAACAAGTGCCCAGGTACTCCTGGGCCCAGAGGCTGAGGCCCACCCCTTGGAAAAGCTATTCCAGATGGCTGCGCTTCCAACATCCTCTCAATCCAGGGATACTGTTGGCTTGGTGTGGGTCTGACCCAAGCTTCCTCCCCTCCTCAGGGGCTGCATATTAGATGGTTTCAGAGGGTGGGTGGGGGACACTCTGCAAAGTCAGGAGAAAAATAGGGCAGACAGGTTTCTGTGCTCTGCCCCCGATAAGGGTGAAAGTAGTAGAGTCCTCAAGACCATGAGTGAGAGACTTTGCTCTGCAAAAGGGTGGTGGTGGGGGGGGGGGCGGTCATAAGATGGTAGCTGGGGGGGCAGCTAGTAGTCACAAGAGTGAACAAGGGTGATGCCAGCTTGAGGCATCACCTTTCTATGGAGGGACAAGGTCCATTGAGGATGGGAGCAGGAGACCTATCACTAGGACTCACTGCCCTGCTTAGCAATGATTGCACGTAGTTTATCTGGTCTGTGATCATGTCCAGACCACACACATGTTCTTCTATGTCCAGAGCCTTACATGGGACCTAGCATATGCGTGGAGGTGGGGGATGAACTTAGGGGATTCCAGCATTGAGCTGGGCCCTGGGGCCAAAGATGCAGGGGGCTGCAACTTGGAGGAGTCTAGATATAAGCTGGTGGGGATAGTAGGAGAGGCCATGTGACAAGAGCGGAAGGGCTGGGTCAGTCTCACCCCAGAGGCAGGAACAGAAACAGAGGCTGCAGGAGGCTCTCTTTGGGGGTGGGGGGGCTGCACGAGGTGCAGGGGTTGAGTAAGCAGTCAGACATGGGAAGGTAATGAGCTGTGTGGGCAGCTGAGGTGGCAAGGCCTTCATCAGGGCCTTATCTCCACATTTGTTTAAGCAGAGAATCAGGACCTTGGGGACGGTGAAGTGTTCCGGGAGGGAAGGCAGGCCTATTTCTGCGTGGAGCTCCCGTGTTTATTCTGTCGTTTGAGTACATCTATTAGGTGGGACACATTCTTGGCTCTTTCTTTAGAAAAATTACTTCTAATTGTGGTAAAATACACTAAAATTTATCCTCTTAACCATTTTAAAGTGTACAGCTTAGTGTTACTAAGCACACACAGTGTTGTGCAACCATCATATCCTTCTCCAGAGTTCTTTTCATGTTGAGAACTGCAACTCTATATCCATTAAACAATTCTCTTTTGCCCTCTCTGTCCCTGGCAACCTCCATTCTACTCTGTCTCTACAAACAACCACTCCAGGTATCTCATTTAAGTAGTCTTACAGGGTCTTTTGTGACTGGTTTATTTCACTTAGCATAACGTTCTCAAGGTCCATCCATTTTGTAGTCTGTGACATGATTTCTTTTCTTTTCTTTTCTTTTTTTTTAAATATTTATTTATTTATACAAGAACCAGGGTACAGGCCAGATGCGCGGGAGGGTGAAAGGATTCACCAGAGACAGAGCAGGGAACAGAACAGGCAGACTGACGAAATACACTGCTGAGAGGAGCAGCGGGTAAGACGGGAGAGGTCTGCTGAGCCATGTGAGACCCTCGCCAGCCGGCCAGGATTGAACCTGCGCTGCAGAGGCTGCAGACAGCTTCACAGCGCTGCGCTCAATCACCTGCGCCACCAGGGGAGGCCCTGATTTCTTTTCTTTTTAATAAAGGACAGTAAACAATTTCCCACTGTTGGGCACTTGGGTTGTTCCTAATTTTTGACTATTGTAAATGCTGCTGGAATATGGGTGTACAAATTACTTTCTGTTTTTGTATATTTTCCTCCATGCCCACATTTGTATTGGATTCCATTTTTGTAAGTAAAAATCCTATAAATTGTGGCAATTTCATGTCTCAATATAGATATGCATATACTTATGCATAACTGTACCTGTGTACACATGTACATACCATACATGCTATTTGTGTGTCTGCTTTCTTTGTAATAATTTTTTTAATTGGAAGGGTTTTTTTTTTAACATTTGCATAGAAGAATTAAGGTGTAGGCCACAGGTATGTGGGGGGGGGGGGAGTAAGGGGATTCACCAGAGACAAAGTAGGGAGCAGAACAGGCAGATTTACTGAAATACACTGCTGAGGGGAGCAGTGGGCGAGACAGGAGAGGTCTGCTGTGCCAAATGGGTTAGCTCCCTGGCCTGGGGATCGAACTCAGACCATAGTGGTGATAATAGTGCTGAGACTTAACCTAGGCCACCAGCGAGGCCCCTTGATTGTCTGCTTGACTCTAAGTATCTAGTCACACATCACTGTACATGTACCTTTGCATTCAAGCCTGTGTGCCTGAAGTGTCTGTGTACCTGTGTATGTGTCCTCATGTGTGCACATCTGGGTATAGAGCTCTTTGTACATGGGTGTCTGAGCAGTGGGGATGGTCTTTTTTTAAAGATTTATTTATTTATGCATACAAGAGCTGGGGTACAGGCCAGAGATGCAGGGAGGTGAGAGATTCACCAGAGACAGAGTGGGGAACAGAACAGGCAGAGTGACTGAAATACACTACTGAGGGCAGCAGCAGGCAAGACAGGAGAGGTCTGCTGCGCCATGTGGGTTGCTCCCTGGCTGGCCAGGGGGGAACGAACTCATGCTGCAGAGGCTGCACATTGCTTCATAACCCCTTGAGCCACCAGGGAGGGCCCAATGGGATGGTCTTGCCAACTCAAGCTGGGTCTGTGTACAATAGAGAGCAGTTGAAAGGGGCAGATTGGAAGGCTAAGTTGAAGGCAAAGGGCTGAACCTCTGATATTTTGGTACTAAAAGCATGTAAATGAAATAAACCCCCTCCCCTTTGGTTGCAGGACTGGCTGCCCCTCCCCTCCCTGTACACTGAGTGGGTAAAGGGCATATGAAGGTGAATGGGTGGATCCTGGTCTTGGGGCTAAGCCTCAAGGTGGGGGCCCAGAGTGATAGGAGCTGCAGATAGTTCAGCCCAGACCCTGACTGCAGAGTGTTAGGCACAGGCCCCTTAATCACTGTTATTAAGAGGAAGAAAAATATTTTCCTGTCCAGGAGGTGTGTCAGGCGCCTGCCTGGCCTCATTCTGCCATCCCAGGGGCTATTTAGCCTTGTCTTTTGTCTCCAACAAACCAAGTGGCACTTTAGCTGGTGACTGTTGTGTGGGGGTGGTGGGAACAGAGGCTGGGCTGCAGCCCTCCAGTTGCAGGTCGCTCTGATGCTGATATTGCCATACACCTTTAATGTGGCATCCATGGATAGGGAAGACAGGACTCCTAGGGAGGAGCAGCTAGGCCAGGAGGGGAGCCAGAGTGTATCCAAATCTCTTAAATTAGGGTCAAGCAATCTAAATACTAGAGATTCAAGGACAAGTGGTAGGGATTCCCAGTTTGGCTCAAGCTGGGTATTGATTGATGAGAAAGATCTCAAGATGTACAGAAAGGCAAGTAGGGTGTTCTGTACAGGACTAGAGGACATGCCTGCTGAAGGAAGGTAGGGGCTGTGGTGCAGCCAAAGGGCTGCGGAAGACCACCCTCTGAAGAGGGCCTGGCTGCCAAGAGATCAGGAAGATTCATAAAGAGGCATTTTGGGATAATTTTGGGAGCAGAACCCCAGGGGATTAGTGCCAAAGGACCATAATCCCAGAAGCCACCCAGGAGGGTGTGGTTCACTGTTTTGAGCACCAGAGACCTTCATGGGGTCCACTGGCCCTGGCACTATGGAGTCAATGGGAGAGTTGAACAAACACAACTCTGAACCACAACATATTAATCTGTAAAATGGGACCAACACCACTTCCTTCACCAGGTTGTTGAGGAATAAATGGGCTATTCTATGTCAAGTACTGGACTGAGGATATTAGTAGCAGCTTGGTCCTATTGACTTCTAGAGCTTTTTTGGCCATGAAAGGGCAGGGGCTCAGCAAAGACCTGAAGACAAATGAGGCAGTGACCAGACAGCTCCTCTTCGTCAGTCTCTGGCCTCTTCTAGATCAGAGAATGGAAGTGAACATGGGCTGTGTCAGCAGTGTGGCTCTGATATTTGGCCTTAGCTCACCTCACAGGAGGCAAGACCTGCTGTCCACTCAGCATACATAGATGCCTTTGCACCTCCAGCATATGGAAACATAATGAGTTTTTGCATACTTATTTTGGAAAAGTAAGGCTGTGCCTGGGTTAGACTGTAGACACTGTGATCGTGGGGGTCTCACCTCTTCTCTCATATCCCAAATGATAGTGGGGGACAAGTTGTCCTTTGGGTTTACATAAGGGAGGGAATTCCCACCCCACTCTCAGGGAGGAAAGGAGACGACTCCTTTTTCTGCCTCCTCACTCCATCCCCAGAGAAGGAGGACTAGTTTGTTTGATTGGTGGCTTAGGAAGGAGCTGGATTCAAGCCTTTATGGGTCTCCCTCTCCCATAGACACAAAGCTGACTTATTTCTCCATTGATCTATATGGTAACTTCCAGAGAAGGTTCTGCCCCCAATAGGGAGAGGTCTAATTTTAGGGATGGGGCATGTTTATTTTGGGGAGGATATTAACAACTCCATCTGAACAGAAAGCGGATGCTACCTCCTCCAATCAGCTTTAGTAAAAATATGGGTAAAGCCACTGTTTTGATTTCTGTCCTTGTGTCTTATTTCTTAATTTGCTCAGAACTTGGGAGGAGAAGGATATTATCCATTGACCCTTAAGCTCCCAACATTATTAATCCAGTCACCTCTCCTTCCCTCTCCCATCCCATCCCCTCTCGGGCCATCCAATCCACCCAACATTTATTTACTTTAGGCCAGCACTGTGGGCCCAAAGACGAGTAAGACTTGCCTCTGCCTGGAGGAACTCATAGTTTAGTGGGACAGCTGACTCATAAATAATTATAAGCCACAGATTAAGCCACGGTATAAACCAAGTGCTTGGGGTTTAGAGCTCATGACCCTTTCCGGACCCTTAGAGGAAATATCCCCACCCCTCACCCTTCAAGCAGGGTACAGCCCTACTGCAGTATTTCAGAGTGACTGGGAAGTAAAGAGGCTGTTTCTCTATGGTGGGGAGAGAAAAAAAGTGGGAAGGAGCAAGCCAGCAAGATCAGTGGGTTCTAGTTCCTGGTATATAACCTTGAGTGAGTCTCTGGGGCCCCATCTGTAAGCTGAGAGGGCTGGGGTCAGTTGTATCCTATCAATCTGACATCACAGGTCAGACTCAGAAATTCCTCAGTCAGGATCTCCAGGATGCTTGCACCCTTTTCTGCCCTCAGGAGAGAGATGGGGGATCCTCGACCAGGGCAGAGTCTGGATCTCAGGCTCACCAGCATGGCTCAAGAAGTGCCCTGGAAGCCATAGAAAATCTGTGATGGGTGGTTACCCAGGGTAAGTGGGTAGAGGATCATGGCCAGGCCCCTGAAATCTGGCAGTGGGGGCAGAGTAGAAGTGGGCAAAAACAGTCACAAGTACGGGAAAGCCACTCCCAGAGGAAGAGTTCAATCACTGTGGGGCTGTCCTTTCTGCCCGCAAACCTGCCAGGTCCCCTTTCCCACTTTACCCTAATGGCTGACACACTCTAGATTCCCTGGCATTGAGGTCAGCACGAGCTCTTTCTCCCCTCCCAGCTATCATCTCAGAAATCCCTTGTCCCTCCATCTGTCCCCCAATCTCTGGCTTCAGGAAAAGGTCACCTTCTTCCCTCCGAAGCCAGGCTCTTGTCCTCAAGACCAGGCTTCCATTTCCACAGGGATCTAATGATTCCTAAGATTTATAAAAGGTTTCCATTAAGTGCTTTTAACATTTAATCAGACTTCTCCCCACCCCTATACATATCCCCAGCTTTTCCCCATGCTGAAAATGCTTTAGTTTTCATTCTGCTCTCCTAATCCTAATTTTTCTTCATTTCTTCTAGCTTGGCATTTCCCAAGATACCACAACCCCACCTTCTTAACCCTTTACAATTTTTATTTTCACAAAAATCTTGTTCCTGGAATTATCTAGTCATTAAGGCTCACTTACTTCCTGGTCTCTATTCTCTGCACTATGCAGCATTAAAACCCTCCTCCTTCCAGAAGGCTCATCTCTCTTGGCTCCCACTCAAGAGTCTACCTACTATGCTGGTCCCAGCTCTTTCTACACTATCACACATGCTCCTCCCGGCTTTCTGGGTGCTCACCCCTCCTCCTCCTACCCATATCCCTGGTCTACACTCTATACTTCACCTTTGCGAACTCAGCCGGTCTCCTAATTTCAAATGTCCCTTCAATAGCCAGGACAAAACTTAGTCCTCAGTCCTGATCATCCCCTAAGGTCCAGTCCTGGCCTAGGCTCTTGCCCTGCTTGGGCATCTTTATTGTCCAAAGCCCGTCTTCCACCAGATCTAACCAAGGTACACCAAAAGCAATGGGATGGAAGACATAAGACTATTCACCTTGCTACAGGATCCCCTGCACCAAAATGGTTTCCTCTCATTGGACTGGTTTCCTTATTGCATGAGGGGCAATAACCCCTCCCTATCTCCTGTATGAGTCCTTTGTGGGAAGGAACAACACAGAGGATTCCTTTCAAGCTCCCCTCTTCTGCCAGATATCGCCATCTCCCCGCTCCCAAGAGAACTCAATGACCTTCAGGTTCCTCATGTAGTAAGGCATCAAGTCCTGATGACTTTTTTTCCTAAGGAAATGTCTCGGGGGGTTGAACGTCCCCTTGAATTCCCACAATCAAGCCTGAATGGCTAGAATCCCTTCCTGATGGAGCCAATCCACTGAGCACTGCTGTGCATCTTCACTCGGTCCTTACCAAGAACAAGGGGGGCAACCTGCTGCCTGTCGGGTACATTACCCATGGCCCCGCCTGGGTCTCTGCAACCATTTTCGCTAAGCAACTTAGTTGGTTCACTTCAGTCTGAAGAACTTCCTGTTCCTGCCTCCTCAGGGCAGGTCTGCACTCCCTGTTTTCTTACCTCCCTAGTCTTTGCCCATCTTTTATGTCCTGACTCCCTTCCAAGCTCCTCCAGTTTCTAATGCTCATGTTTTGATTTTTCCGGTAGTATGTATATGTGCCTGCACAAGCCCCTGGGCTGGAATACTGCTTCAGATTTCCTTTAATTTTAAACTATGGTACAGCTGTCCTTTCCCCCAACTAGTACTCCTTTTCCAGAACTAAAAACTGGACTTGGGCATCAGAACCACCAGAGTCTACATGCAAGGTTAAGTACTAGCTTCCCAGAGTGTCAGCTTCCTCATCTGTATCAGGAGTTTAGTAACACTTACCTTACAGAATTGTCACTGAGGATTAAGGGAGATAACAAGTGAAAGTACCAAGCTGCGTCGGGCACAGAGAAGAAGGGCGAAAAATATTTGCCGAATTGAGGCCTGAGCTTTAATCTCTGCTTGACATAAAATATAGCAATTCTTTATTACTTCTAATTTTTTAGTCAAACCTGAAATCTGAGAGGTGCTGTTCACTGTTCAGTATTTCATATTTAAATTTCATATTTAAAGGATATTTCATATCCTTCTAATATACTCTTCCCAAGTAAGGAAAACATTGGTTTCTTCTTACGAATGAAGTGCACTTTTCATGTGACAATGGAAATAACTTTCAGCCTTTCCTATTTCTATCTTTGGCTGTCAGGAAACTCAGAGCAAGTTTTTATACTCACTTGCAGGTTCCTGGTTGACCTGTAGGCAGCATTGTGGGATAGGGAAAGAGCAGAGAAACCAGGGTAGGAAAATGTGAGCTGGGATACTCTTGGCCCCTTCTCACCCTAGATGACCCTCCAGGCCTCTCTGAGCCTTAATTCCCTCACTTGTGTAAATGGGGTAATAATGACAAGGACACTTAATTTACAAGACTATTCTGAGATAATACATTTAAAATACTTTATATGCGAGTTGGCTATTAGCAGACTAGTTTTTCTAACATGATTCTTTTCTCCTCTTCCTTCCCAATACTTGCATCTTTTACACTTTGTTTTAGTCATTTTGCAGTTTTATTATAATTGGGTCTCTTATTTTGCTGTGATCCTTTCTGGAAATATACAGAGTACAAATAAATGATAAAGTTATTCCTAGAGAGCAGTCTTCCCCAGGGCAAGAAACCATGTCCTTCACTTGTCTGGTCTAATAACAATTTCACTAGAAAAGCATTCAGCTGTAAAAAAAACACATGACTTTCATTCTTATGAGACGGCCAAAGGAGGCAATTCATACTTAATTGTTAAAATCAGATGAACTGCAGGTCAGATGGAGAGAATGGCCCAGAAAGAGGCTTTTTTGTTGGGCTCGTAGTGATAATTACTAATAGCCTTGCTTCCTTCTTTCATTTATCATTTACATTGGTGCCTACTCCCTACTCTGTGCACTGGAAAAACAAAGATGACTGACCTGGACAGGGCCCACAGTGCAGGAGCTCACGGCAAAGGACGGAGGGCTGGGATGTGAGAAACAGTTTCACTGAGGTAAGTGCCAGCAGGGCTAGAATAGGATACCACCAAAGGAGGGGGTAACAGCTGGGATAGACAGGAGAGAGGGCATTTGAGGACACATGGGGGTTCTTCTCAGAAGAGGGGGAACAAAGATTCCAGGAGCAGAAACAGTATGGTCTTTTCAGGTAACCCAAGTGCTTCAGTTTGCTCAGAGAAAAAATGGGTTAGAAACTCATAAAAACAAGCTGGAAATGGAGCAGAGGTCAAACTAAGAAGGGTCTTGCAGCCTCTGAGGAGTCAGATTTTATCTTGAAGGGGAGTGGAGGGCTGTCAGTAATGATGCTGATGGTCAGGAAGTGAGGGCTTTGGAACATCGCAGACATGATAAATCCAATTTGGCTCTTTGAAATGAAGTACTATATTATGAGTTGCAGTGTTTGTAGACAGGACTTGGCTCTCCAGGCGGAAGTATTCATACAGGGCCTATACAAACATAGGCCAACTGGATATTGAGAAGGAGAGTCAAGATCTGGACAAGGGCTGGACCAAACAACTTCTCAAGTTCCTTCCAAACTAGAGATTCCATGATTCTAAAGCAAGCCCAGTAGCTAAACTGGTGCTGTGGGCTGGGATCTGTGGTCGGGGAGCTGCCTTGGGCAGTAAATGGGTTAAGGCTCAAATAATTTTTATATATGAATTAATGTGTAGAGTTGGGAGCCAAAATCTGTTCCATTAATTTTTCCATCCATTCCAGGAGCAGTTAGGTACACACAGTAAAGTTTATTTTGGTGCATGGTATACTTCACTCCATTAAAAATAAATTAATCAGCAAATTCCTGCCTGGCTCAGCTCTGGTTTATGTAAATAGTGCCCAGCTGTAATGAGTTACAAGGTGTTATTATCTCACACACACAGAGGAGGCTTCACTCTAGAGCTCCACTTGCAACAAAAGCATCTTAAATAAACTCAGAGAAGGCGGTTTGATTTGTAATGTTTTCACAGAAGTGGGATATACCTCACCCATATAGAGTTTCTTTATATGACTCATTTTATAGCAAGTTAAATGAACAAAGTTTGATGGGGGAAAGGAAGGGCAACATGGTTCCCCGCCCCCTTTCTTAAATTTAAAGAAAATCCCCTAAGAGATGACCCAATCTCAGAGGGAGGAGGGGACCGATCCTCGAGTGCTCAGACCAGGGGGCTCTGCAGCACAAGTTGGGAAGGGCATAGAAAGCTGGGCATAGGCCTGGGTAGTAGCTTAGGTATAACTAAGCCAGGAAGAATGTTATTTTTTCACACAAAATCTCATATAAGGGGGAGCCAAAACAGGGAAGACAGCATGTCCCTCACCTGCAGTTCAGTGGGGGGTGGCAAAGGGCCCTTTGTTCTTGAGTCCTCTTTCCAAATGACTTAGGATATAACAAGTCCCTTGGTCATGAGAGGCTTCCTGGGTCCCAGAGGACAGGACCTGGCAGGTTGTGCCTTGGCCAGATGAGTGCTATCTACACGAGGTGGAGGCAAAAATAGCAGCAGAGACCTCCTGACCCTCTCTTCCTCCCTGCCTCTAACTGAGCTGGGCAGTGTGCTCCTCAATTTATGGCAACTGCCAACTCAGATAAGTTTCTAAAAGACCCTGGAATAAAAAAAGAGCCATGCAAAGACATGGTTCTGTTTCTTTTAATGGCCAATTCAACCCCACAGTTCAAAGTTGGAGGACGAGCTGGGTTACCTTTCTTGACTCAGCAGCATTACAAAGGCTCCTAGGCCACAATGGGCCTTTGGGGGGGTGTGGGGGTGAGTGCCCCTTTCTAACTTAGCCCCATCCCTTTGGCCTTTGGAAAAAGCTATCAATAATATGGTTGCTATAGGAGATTTAGGGAATATGTGCTGGGGGGCTCTTGCTCAAGGCTTCTCTTGAGGGAGAAGCGCTAAGCATTTTCCCAGCACTGAACCCCACCAGATCATACTCTTGGGCATCCTAAGAGGAAAATCAACACAACCAGGGCCAGGTATTTGACAGATGCTGTTAGAGGTCAGTTCAGGTCACTTTCTGTAGGTTCCTGAGCCAACAGTCACCTCTCCCCCGGTGGTTCCTCAAAGCTAGCTGGCCAGCAGTTTGGAGGAACAAGACCGTCAAAGACCCTCGTCGTTATAAGTTGGGGAATTAGGCTTCAGGACGCTCTGAGGATTCTTCTCCACTAGAGGGCGCCAGCTCACCTCCCCTGTCAGAAGCAGATCCTCTCCGTTCATAGAGTCCAGGTACTGCATCTGCAACAGGGAGGGAGAGCAGGAGACAGGAAAGGGACAAGGGTAGGTCAGATGTGAGGTGGCATCAGAAATCAGCCTACCAAAGAGTAAGGGGAGAGGACATTAAGGGGCTTCTGACCATCCCAGCTACTGGGTAAGGAGAGAGTCTATAATTTTCCAGATGATAGCATTTTAAGTAGGTTCAAGGAAACAATGTCACTGAAGATCATTTGGAAGCAGCAGGGAATTTGCCATCATGCCTATAAATGGATAGACATACACACTTTAAGGACATGTTTCCTCCTCATATAGGGTTACATAGAAAGTGCTTGCAGTCCAGGAAGTCAGGGCTTGTAACACAGACATGATCCTATTTATCCCCAACTAGTCCTATAGGACTCATGAATACATTAGATAATACACATGTATCCCAAGTCACCTTAACTCTAGTGTCCTCTAGTGCCTTAACTCTGGTCAGTGGGTCTCAGCCTCCTCCCTCTAGGATGGCTAGACGTGTTTATCCCCCTCTGCTGTTAAAATGCTCATTATCTTAGACAACCCAGTGCTACTCTCTAAGACTGTCAGCACTGGTCCATGTTTTCCCTCTGTTAACTGGAGAGACAATATGCTGTATTCTCTTGCTCCCCAAATGACATCTGGAGACAACAATCATGTCTCTACTGGGCTTCCTTCCATTTGTGCCTCCAATCTGAGGGCTCAAGGCTCTGATTCTTGGGACTAAACCATCCCATCCAAGGGTCAGAACGGACACCTCCACTCTGAGCAACTCTAGGCCCCTGGATACTCTCAGACTGGCCTAGTAATCTAGATGGAGGACCACACTATGGGAGGGACTTCTGTGACAGAAGAGGAGCAAATTCATGGGAGGTGTCATTGGGCAGAATGGCAAGAGGCAGAATCTCAGGAGGTAAACAGGTCTCTGAAAGGAGTCTCCAGGCTGCTGGCTAGTAAGGAAAGCAGTAGAATGAGAAATGCTTTCAAGTGGACAGAGTTAGACCTGGATCAGATCAGGAATCAGCACTGGATTCAGAAGATGAGGCTCTATTTTTTTTAATTTATTTTATTTTATTTATTTATGCATACAAGAACAAGGGTGTAGGCCAGAGGTGTGGGAGGTGAGAGGATTCACCAGAAACAGAGTGGGGAGCAGAACAGGCAGATCTACTGAAATACACTGCTGAGGGGAGCAGCAGGTGAGACAGGAGAGGTCTGCTGCACCATGTGGGTTAGCACCCTGGCCAGAGATCAAAATCATGTTGCAGTGGCTCACGACAGCTTGAGAGTGGTGAGACTTTAACTCCAGTGCCCCCAGGGAGGCCCGATGAGGCTTTATTTCAGGTGAGAAAGTATATGTGGGGAAGGGGAGAAGACAGGAGTCCACAGTCTATTCTTAGACCTGAGCTCATCTACATCTTCCAAGAATTCCTTCACTTCTATTGCTTCAACTTCAGGCTGCTGACCTTTAACAACCCCAATCTCTCACATATGCCTCAGGAATAGCTTTCAACATGTCTTCTTGTCTTTCAGTGCAAGGACATCAACTATCATAAAACCCACTGTTCTTTCCAACTACTTCACTTCTGTCCCTGATGCTACCACTCCACCCATCTCCAGGGTTGAAAATCTCAATATAACCCCTGTTGGATCTTGGGCCATCTACTATACAAAAACATCATGGTACAGGACTAGATTTTGCTCAAGGTCCAGCTTCCAGGTCTCCCTTGATCTGCTAAGTCAGACTTAAGTCTCTCTCTCTCTTTTTAAAAAAGATTTTTTTTTTTAAATTTATTTATGTATACAAGAACTGGGGTGGAAGCCAGAGGTGCAGGGGGTGAGAGGATTCACCAGAGACACAGTGGGGAGCAGAACAGGCGTATCTACTGAAATACACTGCTGAGAGGAGCAGCAGGCGAGACAGGAGAGGTCTGTTGCACCATGTGTGTCAGCTCCCTGGGCAGGCTCTGAAGTGGCTGGCCACAGGTTGGTAGCGCTAAGACTTTAACCCCTGCAACACCAGGGAGACCCAAGTCTCTCTTTTCATTTGCCTTCCACAACACTTTGTTCCTACCTATATCATATCATAAACTGACTTATTCCAGAGTTAGCCTTTGTGCCCAAATGGCTTTCTTGGCAAATCATGAGCAAAAGCAGGGTGGGTTTTATTAATCTCTGCTTTCTTAACATAGTGCATAGCATAGTAGGTACTCAAAAGCTTTGCTGATAGAACTGGGTCCTTATCAGAGATCCCAGTTTCCCTAACAGTCCCATCACTGTTTTCCTATTGCTTACCTCTCATGGGGGCAATATGAGACGTCTTACAGGGGCAGTGGTATAGCAGCCCTTTCCTTTACCCCCAGCAAAGTCCCAGCTATACCCTTAAGGTGGCCCCCGGCACAAGGAAACATTGGGCTGGTCTCTCAGAAAACACAGTACTTGCTTTGCCAGTTATACTTTTGTCTGAGGGTGAAACCAACAGTGTGTATTTCAGAATTTTCATGTGCATGGGATCCCCTGGCCACAGTGCCGTCTTCCCAGCTTCAGCAGATTTGAAGCATAACACAGAAATCCTGGCTTCTGCGGTTCTCTAACTCTGAGTTTCAAGAGCCTCAGTATGTGGCTCTTCCACCACTGAACAAGATGGCCCCATTGAGCCTGTCTTCTTGAAAGCCTTGGCCTGGCCTTCCCTTTCCTGGCTATGAGAGGCTTCAAGACCATGGGCACAGGTGAATAAGAATAACTGTGGGGTGAGGTCTCTTCAGCTTCAGAGGCCAGACCCAGGAAGCACAGGTGTGACTCATGGGACAGCCTGAGCTGATGAGCTTTCGAGCAGCTGAGGTCTCTAGTGAGTAATGAATCATCCAGCTTGGGGTTTTAGGCAGGGTGTGCATGACGACTCACTGGGAACCCCTCTTCCCTGCCACTCATCTGAAATGTATGGTTTCCTATGAATAAGGGATTGGGAGTCAGAAAGATGGAGGAATGAATCTCTATAGGCTTGAGGAAAACTTTGTAGTTAAGCAGTCTCCTCACTCTAGTCTTCTCTCCTTAAAGTTTTGGTGTTAGGAACCATTAGGAACCAGAAGGGTGAGAATTAAAGTAGACAGAACCCTACTTGACTCTGGATAGCATCCAGTGGGAAGAGGCTTAAAGGCAATCAGTGGAATCCTGCCTGAAGCCCAGACCTGCTAGAAATCAGGGGTAAGAAAAATGAATCCTGGAGCTCTAAATGGGGGCTATAGGGGGATGCTGCACTGAACTCCATACCCCTATCTCACAGGACTATGTATACCAAGGATCTAGCATAGAACTTGGCATACAGTAGGCAATCAAATGTGTAGTGAAAGACTGAGGTACTCAAAAGCTTTGAAAGCAGGAGACCACTTGGTGCTTTTTCTTCTAGTTCAATTTCCCGACCTTGGGAAGATACACAATGTGCTCTTCATCAGTGTCTGCTGCTGACATGATTTGGTTGGAACCTCCTCAGACTGGATTCTGGGAACTCAGTCTCTCATGATCCTCTGAAAGTCCACAGAACTCAGGAAGAACCTGCTTTCCATAAGACTCTGGAGGGAAGGGCAAGTGGTGCTCACCTGTTTTCTTACATACTCCACCAACAGTTCAAGCTGTCGAGGGTCTTCACATTTCTGGTTGAAAAACGTTCTCCAGAGGGCAGCAGCCAACCCATGATCATCTGAAAGGATCCCCTGGAAGAGAACAGTAATTGGCCTTCTGGGAAGCACTGCAGAATCATGATACAAAACAGAACTGGTGCAGAGAGTTAGATGAGAGAGAAATGGGAAAGCTACATGGTGGAGCTGGAGGCATCTTCAGAGCACACCAGGTCCAATCCCTTACTTTCATATAAAGAAAGATCAGGGGACCCAGAGGGACCGAGTGACTGGCTAAGGTTGACACGGACATGGGACTTCTATCTGGGCGACACTTCCAGCGTACAGCTCACTCCACTCTATTACACTGCACCTGGCAGTGGTTCTGCTGCTCTCCGTGAGCTATTGACCTGGAGTACTGTGAATGTACATTTTTCCCCAAGAAAGAGAGGTGGGTGCGGAATGTGCCTTCTCTCCTGTGCCAAGGGCACACATCTGTAGGACAGCTGGTTCCTTGTAGAAGGGAAAGCATTGGTCTCACTGTCACCCTACATAGAGAAACAGGCTGTTCAGCAGAACTGTCATGGCACAGAGGGAATGCTCAGAGCCTGTGTGTGTACACTGCCTCTCCCAGTGCAGTGGAGAGCTTAGCCGGAAAGCCCACATATCACAGAGGCTAATCAGTGCTTAGGCCATGCACTAGGGCCATTTTCTAGCTTGGAGCCTTATGGATGGGGTGAGAGGGGGGTCTTGCTTCCTGGGTGAGGGTGACCAAAGGGAAAGGTCCAGAGAAGGTCCCCTATCCAGGTGCCAAGGTAGTGTGGAACCAAAGTGCTAAGTAGAAGTTAGAAAGCAAGATTCAAGCCGTGACTCTGCCAGTGATGGTGGGCAAGTCACTAAACCTGACTCTCAACCTTCTCATGTATTAGAGATAAAAATGTTTGTCCTCTTCATAGTAGGCTTGAATTATAAAAGATAATGTAAAGATGTTTTTGTTAAGTATAATATGTCAGATACAAAGATTAGGAGCTGGCTTTGGCAGGCACCTGTGGATATAGCTGAAATAACTGTGGGATCTGGGGATCAGACCACCTGAGCTCAAATGGCAGCTCTGTTACTTCATGGCTATGTGGCCCTTTGGAAAGTCATTAGCTCTCTTGAGCCTCATTTTCTCATGAGAGAAACAAGCATAATAATATCTACCCCACAGAATTGTTGTGAGAATTAACAGATAAGGGACATGAAAGGCTCTGTAAGTGGTAAATGATTACACAAAGATCTAGGATGATGTATTGGATGTTATGTTGGGGCTGGCCTCTGGGGCATCGCAATACATGAGGTCTGGCTTTAGGCCTCTTGCCAGGAAGGGTCATATCCATGCTGACAGTTTGGTGGAAAAACATTCCACCTGTTCCAAATGCCCCCTGCTAAATACCCCTGTAATTCCACAGCTTAAAAGACTGTCCTGGCACAATGGCTGACTCAGGAAAACCAGCTTTTTCCAGAAGATGGGGACAGGAGCCAAGGACAAGCTCAGGCACATCACCGTTCTCGAAGTTATTTGCTAACACAACAGCCTCCCTGTGTCTGAAGTGCCCTGGGTACATGCCAGAGTGTTGCTGGCAGCAGCCCAATATAGTGCACAGTAAGGAGTGGGAGCAGGAAAAGGAGTGGGAGCAGGGTGGGTGTTTTAAGGGCCTGGAGAATGAGCACAGAGCAACAGGACAGCAAAAGCTCGGGAGCTGTGGCCTGCTGCAAACAGGCAGCTTCAGTGATGAGTGAGACGGGAAAGGGCAAATCCACAATCAGTCAGAAGGAAAGGAATGACTCAGACTCAGATTAACAGTAATAATAACCTAGCTGTTTCAGACGCTCGGAGTTCTTTCACACACCTGGCTCCTAATGACTATACAGGCCAAGAAGAGCAGATATTATTATCACCATTTGAAAGATAAGCACACTGAAGTTTAGAGGTTATCTCACTAATTGGTGGTAGGACTAGAACCAGAATGCACAGGTGAGGTAGGGGATGGTGCCTGGCTAGCTCTAGTAAGGAAGCAGTCAGTAACTGGCACAGAGAATGTGCAATAAAGATGATTCAATGAAATCAATGAACCCAACTTTAGTCTTCTTTCCACCTTACTTCTAGTAAATCAATGAAAACAAATGGGAAACTGTTCTAAGAATGTAAACTTCAAAGTAAGAAGGCAGGAAAGGAAAAAAGGTGTCCAGAAGCCAAATACGAGGAGATATGACAACTTTCCCACAATCTACTAGTGCATCAGCTCATTTTCCCTCATGATTATGACCAAAAAAATCCTCCAGGAAATTAAGACATTTGGGAAATAAACCAAATAGACTGTCCTGGCCCTAGAGGGACCCCATTATAGTTAAGGATTGAATGGCAAAATCTCACTCAGTAAAGACTCACTTGACACCTCTAACATGCTTAGCACCATACAACAAGATCTTAGCTTGTGGGGAGCTTGCAACCTAATTGAGGGACAAAGGTAGCCCACATCAAACAGCAGTACAGAATGAAGTCCCAGAGAAGGAACAAATGCTAATCTGCACAGGGAGACTCCCAAGGTATACTCTGTACATGGCTGGCTCCACATTCTTCAGTCTAAGCTTCTATGACAAATCCTCAGAGACCTTCCTGGTCTACACTGAGCACATCCTCCTATTATTCTCTATCACTGCATTCTTTCTAATTAGATATTTGCTTAATTACTTGTTTTCTGCCTGTTTCTCTGTTATAAAGTTAGTGTCAATGGGAAAGAACCAGACCACGTTCATTTCATTCCTCAATCTATTTCCAATACATCACACAAGGTAGGTACTTAATGCATATTGTTTGTATGTATGTACGTTTGTTTTATGCTGAAATTCAGATTAAAAAACTCCAGAAACTTAGAGGTCAGAGAAAGCGCTGTAGAAAAGGGGGCCTGTAAGCATGGAGACTATTTGGAGAGCTACAGAAAATTCTAAGCAAGAAAAGGATAGTATTAGTTCACATTTAGAGAAGGTATAAGCTGACATACTCAGCTACTGCCTCTAAACCTGGTTGTCCAGGAAAGCCTCAACCAGGCACAACTTGTCTGTCAGACACTGAGGCAAATGACTCACCTGGAGAGCAGGCTATCCACTGGAAGAAAAAGGGAGATACAGGCGGATAGGTATGTCACAATAGGAACAGTTAACAGAAGGCCTAGAAGTGGCAAGGGTAGGAGGACAGCATGGTCCATGGAACTCACAGACATAGAAATGTTCTATAACTATATTGTTCAACACAGTAGCAAACAGCCACATATAGATATTGAGAACCAAAAATGTAACTTGCACAACTAAGGAACTGAATTTTCGATTTTGTTTAACAAATTTAAGACAAAATAGCCAGTGTAGGGCCTCCCTGGTGGCGCAAGGGGTTAAGACGCAACCTATGAAGCTGTCCACAGCCACTGCAGCACGGGTTGATCCCCAGCCAGGCAGGGAGCTACCCATATGGTGCATCAGGCCTCTGCTGACTCGCCCTTGCCCGCTGCTCCCCTCAGCAGTGTGTTTCAGTCGATCCTCCTGTTTCATTCCACACTCTGTCTCTGGTTAATCCTCTCAGCCCCCACATCTCTGGCCTGTGCCAGTTCTTGTATGCATAAATGAAAAGAAAAAAAAAAAAAAAACCAGTGTGGCTAGTACTGGATAGCACAGCTCTACAGTCTGGTGACTCCTAGTGTGATCTGCAGTTTGTTAGCAATGCAGAACCTTGCTTCACCCCAGACTTGATGAGCAGTATCTGAATTTTACCTAGGTCTTCAGGTGATTCACATATACATTAAAATTTAAAAATTATTCTAGAATAGTACATTAAAAGTAACTGAGGAACTTTTATAAACACATACGCCCACCTTTATAACAGAATTTTCTTTTTTTTCTTTAATATTTATTTACTTATGCATATAAGAACCAGGGTACAGGCCAGAGATAGAGGGGTGAGAGAATTCACCAGAGACAGAGTGGGGAACAGAACAGGCAGAGTGACTGATATACACTGCTGAGGGGAGCAGTGGTGAGACAGGAGAGGTCTGCTGCGCCATTTGGATTGTTCCCTGTCCGGCCGGGGATTGAACTCGTGCTGCAGAGGCTGCGGATTGCTTCATAGTGTGTTGCTGAACCCCTTGCGCCACCAGGGAGGCCCTATACCAGAATTTTCAATCAGAACTTTTAGGGCACAGGGCCCAAGCATCAGTATTTCTAACACATATCCCAGGTAATTAGTATATTTCCCAAACTTTCCCTTTCTTAAGAGTCACTAGGGGTACTTGCTGAAATACCAAGCCCAGCTTCTACTGAACTGGAATTTTCAGAGCAGTGCTTAAGAAGTAGATTTAAAAAGCACCCCAAGTGACCTACGCTCAGGCATGTTTGTAAGATGGCACTGCCAAGATGGACTGGGTTGTGGACAGAGAAGAGACAAGATCAGAACATTTTCTGATACCTGTTAAAGGAATCAATTAAGTCCACTGAATCACTTGCATTAAAGACTCAACAAATGCTAAAAGAGAATTTGATTTCTTCAATTCTAAGTCTCACTCTTTAACACATGGTAAGGTTTCTGAAATCACAATTATTTAATTTCACAACTGATGTGTAGATGTAAGCAGTGTTTCTCAACTTCCATCTCATTCCCAAAAAGCTCATTTTAAATGAATGAGGTATGCAATCTAAATTGCTCTGGTATAATTGAGGATATCTAGTGGATTGGGAGCCAGGAAACCTCAATTTTAACTAGTCCCATGACCCTAAGCAAGTCATTTAACTTAATTTTTGTAAGCTTATTCCACAGCCTCAATTATTATCTTCCGGCTGATACCATTTCCTCCAGCCTGAACACTAGTTTCTTACTTTCATCCCTTTATACATTTCTTCCTTTCCTCACCCTCCAACTACCATGTGCCAAGCAACAGGCCAGGCAACAGAAATACAATAGAAATACAGTGGACACTGCCACTATCCAGTAGAAATCCCCACCCAGCCAGGATGATAGTAGCAAGTGCTGTGAGAGTCCAGGAGAGGCAGAAAGAGCTGAGCTTGTGGAAGTTCCTCAGAGGGGTAATATCTGCATTAAATCTAGATATTAAATCTAGTATTTGCATTAAATCTAATATTTGCATTAAATTAACTACAAAACGAGTATATAAAAGCACACAGTCTGTTAAACATATGAGTTATGATGAATCCTGGTGGTGTGTATCCAGATGTTCATTATATCATTCTTTTAACTTTTCTACTGAGTTTGAAATTTCCAAAATAACAGATTGGAGGAAAAAACTGAGGCTAGATCACTGATGAACCTGGAAGACAATATGCAAGTAAAGCTAGTCACAAAAGAATAAAAACTGTAGCATTCATATTCTATTTACATAAAGCACTTAGACAAGTCAAAATTATTGAACAGAATGCAGAGTGATGACTGCCAGGAGCTCAGTGGAAGGGAGAATGGCAGAATAGTATTTAGTGGGTAGAGTTTAGTGGGTAGAATAGTATTTAGTGGGTAGATGGAAAAGGTTCTGAAGATGGGTGGTATGATAGTTGCTTAACAACGTGAATATCCTTAATGCCACTAATATGTACATTAAAAATGGTTAAGATGGTTAGGTTTTATGTTATGTATAGTTTACAATTTAAAAAAGAGATCTAAATGTTCTGATATAGAAGGATGCCCAAGATTTCACTTTTTTTCAGTGAAAATAGCAAGTTGCAGAATAGTGGGTGTACTACAGCTCCATTTGCATAAAGGAAGTTAATGTAGAGGTGCCTATGTGCACAGGTAACACCTGGAAGGACAGCACTAGACTGTTAACAAAGTTTTTCTCTAGGGCAGAACACTAGGCAGGAGAGAAAAGAGTCTTGTACATTCTATTTCAACCACTTATGTGTAGTTTTATGAGTTTTAAGCCAAAATATTACCTAATTTGTCTGGCAGACTAGAGTGGGAGCAGTCTCTCTTTGGGGGCACCTGAGACAGTGACTGATTTGCTTTTATCCCTCCAACCAGCACACCACAGGCACTCAATGAATGCTAACTGGGTGATATGACCATATTATATAGTACTGTCTTTTCCCAAGCACTAGGCAGACTGCTGGGCACATTCATTCTAGTTGTCAAGGTAATGAACAAAGATGGGGGAAAAAACCTTAATGGCAGGCAGTGATGATGGCCCCTGAAGCAGAGGCTCTCATCAAAAATCTTTGTTGGGGGAGGCCACACTTCTGTTTGAGGTCTGGCTAATGATCTTACCTCATCATATCCCAAAATAGCTGCATAGAAATTATTTGTCATAAGGATCATGTTCTTCTTCAGGATATAGGAATTCACCTATAGAAACAAAATGGCAGAAACAAAAGTATGAATGAAAGGGGAAAAGCCAGAAAGTATGATTTTTGACTCCTACCTGTTACAGATTACAAAAAGTAGAATGAGAGGAGCCCCAATGGATCAAACTGTCAGTCCATCCCCATTTCCCTGATCTTGTCAGGATTCTCCCAATTTGACAATTTCTTTTAGGTTTTAATACCAATGTACAGAAAGCAGTAACTCAGTTTAATGAATTGAGCCCAACTCTATGTCAGGCTTTATGCCAGACCCAATGAGCACAAAGTATAAGAAAGAGTTTCTTGACAGGAGAAGCACATAATCTAGTATGGGAAAAAAAAAAAAAAAAAGACATGTGAAAAATAATTACAATGCAATGTGTTGCCTCAAATGCTATTCAAAAGTGGTGAATGAATAATGAATTTTAGCACAAATAATCTCTGCTTGGGAGAGGTGGGGAAACACTGTCTAGGAGGCAATGATTAAGCAGACCTAAGAAGAAGAGAAATCTGACAGGAGATAGTGAAGGGTAGGAGAGAAGGCATTCTAGACAGAGGAAACAAGGTGTGCAAAGGTGCAGAGGCAGGAAAGAAAATGTCTGGGAGTGTAAAAGAGAGCAGATGGGCAGGAACACTGGAAAGGTATATTGGAAACAGGTTAGGAAATACCTTTAGAATCACTCAAAGATTGCTGTGGTGAAAGACAGAAGGAGGAAGCTGTCAGAGGTGAGGAGGCAGGCCTGTGAATGAGATGCTGAGGGGAGAAGGAAAGGCTTCTGAAGCCTTCTTTTGTGGAGAGGAGGAAAGAGGAAGTTGGACTGAAATAGTAAGCCTGTTAATGTTAAGAAACAGTTTTAGAAATGCAATTCCAGTAACCCCTTTTGAGACCCTGGAACTCCAGTCTGGGAATGGCCAGGAGGACCTCCAGGGCCTACACTGAAGTCCACTGAATGTCTTCAGTAGGGCAAAACTTTGACCTCCAGATCTCCAGGAGATATTCAAATTGACAGGTTTCAGAAACAAGCAAAAATCATTTGAAACTTCATATGGTGAATAAGATTTGTGTCTAACAACCCTGACTATGCCCAAGCCCACTGTCATCCCCTCTATATATTGAGCACCTGCTATGGGCCATCCCCTCTATATATTGAGCACCTGCTTTATGGACACCATCTCCTCTAATCATCACCAGAACTCAGAGGGGTAGATGTGTGCCATAGTCACATTTTTATAGATGCAGAAAACAGACTCAGACAGGTGAAGTGAACTGCCCTAGGTCCCAGAGCAATTTAGTGGTAAGTCTTAGACTGGCATCCAGGTCAGAGTGAATCAATGGTCTATGTGCTTTAGGTTCCATCATGTTCCTGCCTCGAGGAGGGCAATTTTACTTTGTCTCATAAATCAAAGACTGACTGATTTAATCCCATGCTTCATAATTTGTCTGAAGGGAAGAAAGGAGTAGTGAAAGAATCTGGATTGAGTCATAAAACCTGGGATCAAGTCATAATTCTGCTGTAAAAACATGATATGATGTTGGGTAAGTGAAATAACCTGATTCTATTTTCTTATCTTTTATTTTTTTTAAGATTTATTTATTTATGCATACAAGAGCTGGGGTACAGGCCAGAGATGCGGCAAGGTGGTGGTGGGGGTGTGTGAGAGGATTCACTAGAGACAGAGTAGGGAACAGAACAGGCAGATTGACCAAAACACACTGCTGAGGGGAGCAGCGGGTGAGTCAGGAGAGGTCTGCTGCGCCATGTGGGTTGCTCTCTGGCCGGCCGGGGATCAAACTCGTGCTGCAGAGGCTGCGGATTGCTTCACAGTACTGTGCTTAACCCCTTGCGCCACCAGGGAGGCCCTACTTTCTTATCTTTTAAACATTCTATACATAGGACTGTTTTGAAGAGCAAATGAATTAGCATGTATTCATTCCCTAATTCAACAGTGTATTGCTAAAGCCTTGGTAAGCTGCAAAATGCTCTGCAAATGCAAGGAATTATGAGTAATACCTTCTGGTTTGTGTATATAAAACTAAAACCAGTTCTAATACTTTATAGTGAAGGATAAATTTCAAAAAGGAAGAGAGAACTATGGAGCTCAAGACTGGAAAACATGAGACTGGATGCAGCTGGAAGTGCAGTCCACAGCCTTTTTCACATGACCTCAACCCAGGCCAAATTAGCCTATCCTTTGTGTCTTCAGGGCTCTGTCCATGCTTCTTTCCCTAGGTGTATAACATGACTTAGAGTTGCTCAAGTACCATCTGTCTGTCACTCTACTCTATGAGCTAGTCAACGGTCACAAGGACCTCACCTCTGATTAATCTTGGCAGCCCCAACACCTAGTCCTGGCCCAGAATAGAGTTTAAGGCTGCATACTGATGGATGACACTCTAGGCCTGAATGTCATGCATAGCATGTTCTAGACAACAATATCCATCTGTTTTCCATGTTTTGTTATTGAATACCTTCCACATTTCTGAAACTTCGGAAACACATTATCAAACTTCTGTACTATTTTCTAGAATGGATTGAGGTGAAAGAAAGAGTCAAGAGATAAGACAGAGTTCCTTCTATCATGTGAGAATGGGACTACAAACCAGGACTGTCAATGCCCTTAAAGGTCTCCTTACTACCATACTAGTTCTCAGAATTTTCAAGGAGAAACAGCCATAAACGAACAATGTCAGAGGTGTCAAACAAAAGCAGGAGCATCTCTCAGATGTTTCTTCACTGACCCTGCTCAGCAAGGCTAGTCTATGTGTTGCACCAAACTAGTAAGCTTTCCGGCTGGAAGGCCCTTCAGCATCATCTAGTTCAATCCCGCTGAAGAAATGAACAGAGACTCAAAAAACATGGAGAGGTCACACTCAAGTTATTGTCAGAGCCAAGATTAGAACCTGATTTCTGAGCAAGTGCTTTTCCTGCTTCACCACTGCAGGGCATTTCCAGAGAGCACCATCCCATTAATCTGCAAATCTCAGTTCTTGCTTTCCACCAAGGTCCATATACATAAAAACACACTTTCCCTTCTTGGGATGTACCTGTATTCTGGAAGACTACTGTCTAGTTAGAATGGAGAGCAGGTATAGAATTCCTTATTAGCAAGGCTCCTTCTTCCTCCTGGGTCAGTATTTTAACTCCTGTAACCTGTAAACTGCCATTCCACCCCCTTCACTTCTAGCTGAGAGATGGCAAACTGCCATAGTTAGGAATGGTTTTCAGATATCATCACCCAGGCTGGATTAGATCATGAAAAGGGCCCTTCCTGGAAGAGGGTGATAGCTCAATCAGTACAGACACATGATCTGCAGGCAACAGGTGAGGGTAAGTAAGAGCAGTTTCCTGAACTACTGGACTCACCCTGCTGGGCTCAAAGAGCCCAGCAGCCAAGAAGAGCTGAATATTTCCTCTGGGGAACCTCTGTTGGGATTTCAGTCCCTCACTTAAGCTTTTGTTCGCTGGTATACAGGTTTTGTGTTCCCATTGCCAGATCATCCATGGAGCACATTGCCCATGAATACACAGATGGACAAACCAGATGAGAAACTCCTCCCAAAGAGCAATGGGCTGTTCTTTTATTAAACTCTTCTCCTTTCCATAATGCTTTGCTTTTTATAAAAATCCATACATACAGTACCACCACGGAAAAGGTTCCTTTTTATATCAGTTACTCATATTTTCCCATTTATTTAAGCTATTAAAATCCATGCAGCTATTTTATAAGCCATCAGGATTTGGTGACTGGTATTACTGAATGTTTAATAATAAACTAAACAGAAGAAATCAGAGGGTTAAATGATGACTGCAATTCCTATAATGACTTAATTAAATTTTTATTGAGCACATAAACTATGATGTCATTTCTAGCCAACCATGTGTCTGCTTTACCAGCATGTCACAGGGAGGGAGCACTCAATAGGAGGCTAGGCTAAATGAGCAGCAAGTCTCAGCTGAAATGGGGAGGGGAGCCGGGCTCATGTAACACACTCAATAAATTATCCGTTCATTTTTAAACAAAGTCCATGAGTTATAATATATTTGCCATGCACTTTTTATGACATAATAAAAATGTTACCTTAAGGATTACTTAACACATACTACAAATGTTATAGCAGAGGCAGGCACAGGGGCAAAGAAAACAAACATGAGCAGGCCAGGGACGGGTCCTGGAGTTTATGTCCCAGGGGTAACAGCAGAGTATATTAAAAAGGGAACATACGAAAAAAAAGGAGGGGGGGATACAAGAGTTCAGGGGTACTAATCAGCAGACTAATGATTGAGACAAACAACAAGGAACACAAGTAAAGCAATAATGAACCTTGCAAGGCACAGGTTTAATTAATGTAGTATTCTAGAGGAGGAATATTAGCTTTAAAGAGATGCCAGTTCACTTGAGGCCAATTCACTGCCCTCTTTCCCCTTTCTGCTGTTGCTGCTCTTAAGGATATTTATGTGACTGCATAACAGAGGAACCAGATTATATGGATGGAGGGACTAATGGAGGATCAAGCTTAAACTCCTTCATGAGCACTACAGAGTTCACTGTAATCGGTTATTTCTTATGTCCTCTCACCCCCTCACTTTTATCTCACTCTTTAGAGTAAAATATGTACAATTTCCACAAATGTACTGCTCTCTTACAGCTCTTAAGCATACTGCTGCTGGAATTGTCCCCTCTTTACCCACTAAGATGCTAACTCCTCCTTATCCTCTAAGACTTAGCTTACAGATTTTACCTTCTACAAAGCCTCTCTTCCTAGTCTACAGGTACCACAAAAGTGATTTGAGTCCAGAAACAGGTTTCATAATTCACGATTTACCATTTGCCAAGAACTAAGAGCTTTAACATATGAGCTCACTTAATCCTTCCCAAAGACTAAGAGATGGGTATTACTTCTATCCCCACTTTAGAGAAAAGCAAACTAATGTCTGGCAAGATTAAGAATTACACAGCCAGGAAAAGAGTCGGTCATGATTAGAATCTAGAGTAGTCTGACTC